GGTTTATTTTGTCTTGCAGGGATACATGCAGATATCAGACCTTATCTGATCTGAGAAATCGATTTTCACTGAATTAAAGAAAACAACCTTATTCTGGGTTTCGGTATGTCATACATTGACACTTATTGACACTTTTCACACATAATACTCTCTGGATTTGTCAGCAACACTCTACACAAAAAGGTTGTCCTGTGGTTTATTGTTAATTTTAAAATATTGATTCAAGCAGCTTTAAATCAGATTTTATTTGCAGTGTGGAAGTGTCCAGAAGTGTTTTCAACAACGTTAAGATCCTCAAATGATTATACAGTAAGACAAAACTTCAAAAAACAAAAATAGCTAGATTAATACATTTAATTATATACTATTCATTAATAATATATGTTCTTCTGTCATATAGTAGAGTGGCTTTTAAAGTGTACCAAGTGAACACAGGAAGTTGTCCCCGTGTTTTTGCAAGTATACGTTTGGTTTCAAAGAGAAGATTCTATTTTTTGAATTTATTAATAATAATACAAATACTCTATGCAGTTATTTATGTGTTTCAGAAACACACATCCAACAGACACAGAAGATATGTCAAGTACAAGACGTTGAGTGTTATTTCAAGGTGTGCCGCACCTTTTTCGAATTGACAGGTCTGACATATTTATCCTACAGAATTATCATAAAGAAATGTTGGAGCAATTTATGGCACCTTTATTTCTAAGGACAATATGTCAGATTAGTCCTTGGTTGATTAAAAGGATAATGGAGGAGCTCTGCCATTTTCAGTTATAAACAATTGCGTGTCATCTTCCCACAATGCATTTTTCATCCTCCTCCTTCTTGTATGCTGAAGGTGTCACAAGCTTTAATTCTTTATATTGCAAAAAAGTGCAGTTTTTCAGGAGAACTTTATTACGTGTTTCTTTGTTACAAACTCTTTCATAAGTCTTAGGGATGACTTGGAGATCTTTGTCCTTGTCTGTTAGTGGGCTGAAGTCAAACCTAACACATAGAAGGTTATGAAACCTAACAACTACACAAGATTTAACTGTCTAACAAGGAACAAAATTAACAAGGCACAGAAGAAAAGCAAAGGGTTTCATAATACGAACACTGACGCCAACACACCTCTTTTTCCAAGTCAGTTGTCAGTTGCTCCATCTGGAAGCCGATAAAGAAGAAGAGGATCCCTACACTCTTCTTTATGTGTTTAGAAATGTCTAAATGAAACAATGACCGTAATCACTTTTAGTAACTTATTCTAGGCCAGGAATCAAATACTGTAAAGTTACAGGAAGCTAAAGTTAGCCCCATCTAAAAGCCAATACATTTTCAGAGTGAGAGGTGTGCTCTTAAGTCAAGTTTTCTTTTCGTCATGGAAAATGTTGTATTGAACATATACTGTAGCAACACACAGCTGTGGATAAGGATAAGATATGTGAAGTGTGCCAGGAAACACCACCCTATTGCAGTTAACATCTGATGAAGCGTTTGCTGAAGATCAAAAACAACCTTTTCCCCGTATTCACCTTTATTCATTTGGTGATTTTCCCTCAACTGGATTTCTTAATTCTCCAGCCTTTGCTTTCCCATACTATCACACTGTTCCTCCTACCATTAAACAATCTCACATGTCAGCTGTTCAATGCAGCTCTTAAAACTTCTGTCACCCAGACTGAGTATGTCATGGTTTTGGCAGTAGATATTTCGACTCAAAAGCCAGGCTCAGGGAAAGAGACAAGGTAAAGAAGTCGCCAACAGGCAGTCAATCAGCAAAGGCAAACAAATCCAAAAATGGGGAGCGGGGAAAAGAACAGGCAGGCAGCCAAAACAAAAACAGCAGCTGGAACACTACGTCTTCACAGGGCACAACGACAACCTGGCAGGGAGTGGGTGCTGCCTGGCTGGCATTAAGGACTAATGTTGGTGTGAGTAGTGAAGAATGAATGGATGAGAAGTAGGTGAGCAGATGGGTGTGGAGGTCAGGTGATGCTGAAATATATGAACAACCACAAGTAACATACATCTGTACAGGGGGGAATGTCTGAGGCTGAAGGGAGTTAAAAGGTGAAGACAACTAACCAACTGCTCACCATCACAGCTATCAAATCAAATCAAATCAAATCAAGTTTTATTTATAAAGCACATTTAAAAGCGATTTTTGGTCGAGCCAAAGTGCTGTACATGTAATAAAAACACATTACTACAAAACACAATAAACGACAATAAATTACAACAGATATAACTTAAAAAACAAAATAAGAATAAAACACACGGAATAGTCAGGAGTCGTGCTCCGCTCTAACTAGAAAGCCAGAGAGAAGAAGTGTGTTTTTAGTTTTGATTTAAAAACCCCTAGGGTCTGGGCCGACCTCACATGGAGGGGCAGAGTGTTCCAGAGCCTAGGGCCAGCTGCTGCGAAGGCTCGGTGCCCTCTGGTTTTTAGCCTGGTCTTGGGCACTACCAGCAGCATCTGGTCAGCAGACCTTAAAGCTCTGGCTGGGGTGTAGCGCTGGAGCAGTTCAGTTATATAGGCCGGAGCCAGCCCATTTAGGGCTTTAAAAACAAATAAAAGGATTTTAAAATCAATTCTGAACCGAACTGGAAGCCAGTGTAGTGAGGCCAGAATAGGGGTGATGTGGTCGCGCTTTTTGTGACCAGTCAGCAAACGTGCAGCAGCGTTTTGGACTAGCTGTAAGCGTTTGATTGAGGCCTGGTCCATACCCACATACAGAGCGTTACAATAGTCCAGTCTCGAGGTTACAAAGGCGTTAATAACCCTTTCTAAGTCATTCAAAGATAAATACGACTTGGTTTTGGCCAATAGTCTTATTTTAAAAAAGCAGGATTTTACTACGGTGCTGACCTGCTTGTCAAATTTAAAAGTGCTGGTGAATGTCACTCCAAGGTTCATGACCGAGGGGAGGATGTTTTTTTTGATAGAGCCCAGAATATCAACCTATAACCTAAAGCTATCATGCTGTGTTCATGTTAGATCTGAGTTATCATAACTATTAGATTCCTAAATGTATATATTTATGTCATGGAGAACTCTTTTGAAACTGTGGAATAGGCTGTAATGATATCAGATATCAACTACATAGATATCATGGACAAAATAATTCACAATAACAATATTATCACAACTTTTAGAGAAAAAGAGAAAAATAGCTTTGTTCATTACAGATGTTGTCTCTTTTTTGGAAATTCTTTCCACTCATTTGGCTGTATGGCATTGAAAAAGGTGATGAAGCAAGTGAAACATGGTGAGTAAAGAGTAACGTTACTCCGTTTTTACGTTGGTGGTATCTATCACCTCCTGAGTATATTTTCTCCTCTGGACTAATCCTTACCACCCTCCACCTCCAGGTGTGCCCCCCCCTGCAGCTCACCCTCTCCCCCCGGTAAGAGCTCCAGGTTAGAGTGAAGCTATATCTATATATCTATATACTAGTCCCTGTTGGCCAGGATATCTGTAGATGACACATCTGTGGTGACCTCGACCTGTCTCTCAGCCAGATCACCCTCTCTTCCTGAGGAAATAACCCGCAATGCTTGGTCTGATGGACCTTGACAACTGGAGGCACTGGAGTGTAGAAGTGATTAGAGAACAAAATTAGCTGAATGACCTGCTGGGTGTAGAGCGAGTAACGGGCTAAACAGTTTTCTTTAAGCCATTTAATTAAAGAATAGGGGAGAACAATTGTTTCCTTTTCCAATAAAGCTAATTAAGCCAATAAAGTGGCAATGTTGGGCCTTTAATATCCCGCTTTAAAACCTCCTTCAGTGGAAACAAAGAATAGGAATCTGAAATAATAATAATAATTTGAGTCCAAGTGCTCAAAGACGCTTTCGGAGATTAAAAAATAACAAAACAACATTTAACACGAGGACACAACACTAATCACACATTAAAAGCCAGTCTAAAAAGGTACGTTTTTCTCAATGTTTTGAAGCAGGTAAGGTCTACATGTACGTTTTCTGTCCAGTGTGCTCTTTCCAACCCTGGCTATACTTTCCAACACGAGAGTCATACATGGTGAAAAGCTTATGGTTTTATAGGTTTTTTACCATATACCATGTCTGTGATGTTGTCACCATACTCAGTCAGATATCACCTGATATACATACTGTAGCCACCTGTACAGAGAGATCTGTAATGGCAGACAAATGTGGCTATATAATCATTTGTGGATAAGATGAAAGTTCCAGTGTGACTCTTTACTGGCTGTTACTGTACGGAGGCGTGTTGTGTTTTAAACTTTTATTTGCAGCTCCAGAGCCTGAGACCGAAATCTTTTGATCATTCCTCAAAATCGTACCTTGAGTGCATTTGGAAAGACAAATAACAGCAGCACTGTGAAGAGTTTCATCGCCCTGTTGCAGTTAATATTCTCTGCACACCAAACTGCGCAGGTTTCACTGCCTGCAGCTCCTCCCAAACTCACACCATTGGATTCACATGGGGAGATTACTTCCTGTTCAAACAAATCGATCAATGCATTTAACTCAGTGAAAACAATGTGTACAGTACACCTTGAAAACACTGGAGACACATGCTACTCCAATTTTGACATGAGTGACTGCTGACACCTAGTGGAGGAAAAACATAATTACAATATGTGCACCGGTCAGGAGAGGCACACCTTTTCCACTTAAAATACCAAGTTTACAGGGGTTAACTTGCCTTTTTAAAGCTATGGAAGGACCTAATAAATGTATATCACAATATACTTTAGTATATTCCGATGTCTTTATATGCATTTGTATAGCTGTAATGTAATTAAAAATAACAAAATCACATAAATGAGGGGGTTTTGTGTGCTGGTGACTTTCATTAATGCACAGTGTGGTTAAATGAATCACTTCTCTAATATATTTGTTGCTAATTTCAGTTAAAACAAATTGAAGTATATAAAATATACATTGATTCAAAATGCTGGTAATCTTCACAATTGAGAAACTAAACATGAATAACTATCACTTCCATTGATTCCAGAAAAAAGCCAATGTTTTTCTACAGAAGAGAATGTTTTAATAAACACACTTGTCAAAGGAAAGGTATGCTTCTGAGAGGCAGCGATGCTCCTGTGAACTCTCTTCAGTAAACAACTAAGACTGGAATGAGAAATAACAGCGTGTAAAAAGGAAACGACATAACTCAAAAGAAAATAAGGACAGAACAGCAGAAATACAATAATGTGTGCAACAGCAAATACAGTTTAAGTATATACAAGCATATATTCTTTTACTGAACATTCAACAACAGCTTCAACTATGCATGGGGCTGTAAGGACTTTGATTTCTCTTAATAGGAAACTTTTGCTGTTACTTGTTCAACAACATTGGTTCCAGTAAGTGCTGAGTAGCCAAAAGATTTCTTTAAGAAACTCTCACTGAGTTTTTAAGTGCTACAGATGTCTTCAAGAAACAGCAATGCAATACTTCACATGTTCAGGAGATTCATGTGGAAATTAAAAACCTGCACTACAATCAGATAACATTCAGAAGCCTGTGTCCAGCTCTTAGGAATAGATACACACTTCAATTACAGTTTGACATAATGAAGAGCAATGTGGACAACAGTAAAGAGCTGATTTCAGATACTGAACACAGAATCAACTAGTGCCGTGTGTATAAGACTAGTCAGTCCAACATGGCTGGAGGACTATCAGAAAGTTAGTGCTGCCATCAAAATCAATACCAACTGAATGAGTATGTTACGTCATTGCAAACTTTGTAATTAAAGTATGTTAAGTCATTTCTATACTGTACCATGAACCCAATTTACTTTTAAAAACATGAACATGCCATACAAAGATACTGCAGCTAAAAGCTTGATGTCAAACTGATATTGAACTTCAAGAGAAATGTGTGTAAACACAAGAGGAATGATTCAGAACTCAAACCAAAGTCATACTTTGTCCTTAAAATGTCCGATACCAGAGGTTTGTTTTTCTACGACCTAATAACTCCTGGGAAGGAATCTTAGAGCTCCTTAACAATATATTATTTATCCAAATAACGGAAATATTATAAACAACCTAGATGATTAAGGCCGAGTCTAGGGGTTGATATTTAAATCAAGTGGAACAGAAGGCCAGATGTTAGAGAAGCAAGGCTTGAGACCAAACAGATTGCTTGTTCAAATTCCAGTATTGTCTGAGGAAATGGGGGTAAAGAAAACAAATAAATAAACGCTCTTCCATTCCCTCTCCACAGAGGGCAGCGCAAGGCCAGCCGGAGCAGATTTGTAAGGCCAATCTTTCCACATTTTTTAAAATCCGTTTCCCTCTTTGGGGGATCACCATAAAATTCTTCTTTATAAAAGAAACATACATTTGTACAAATATTTACAAAGGGGAGGAGGGGGAAACCAAGGCATTTAGAGTCTGGGTTCTACCGTTATCCAGAGAGACGTTGTTTCTCATCCCTCATTCCCACATTCAAAGCCACTCAGAGTGTTTTTCTATGTGTTTAATATCTCAGCCCACTGCCGTTCCAGGGTTTGTTGTGACCTGGGCCAGCCCAAGTCCCTGAGTTATTAGCATTTTCTCTGTTAGCCAGGGCTGAGGATCTCAACCAGAGTCTGAATCACTGGTGTCTGAGGACGAGGAGGAGGAGGAGGAGGAAGAGGAGTCAGAGCTGGAGCTGCTTCCACTGAGGCGTGCGGGCTGAGTGTTGGTCTCCACAACGCTGGGCTTCTCCACTGAGGACAGAACAATGAGTACGAGTTAATAAATACTGAAAGACCAGATAGAGCTTTTAATGTACCCTCTAAAATATTTAATGGAAACACACAATAATAAAGAAACAGATTACATCTAACATTTACTTTCAGAAGACATGCACAAACCGAATATGGATGAGAGTGCTTACCTTTAGGTTTCGTTGGTTTCTTGACAGAGTTGAGTTGCCCACTGACGTCCTGCAGCCTCCTCTCCAGCTCCCTCCTCTTCTCCAGAGTCAGCTCCTCTTTAGACAAGGCAACACCGCCTTTCTTTCCTGCTGAAACTGAAAAGACGACGACATTGTTACGGACCTGTGATCCACAGAGTAATGCAGTTAACAGACTATAGTGTATTGGAGTGTTTTTGGATTCAGAGAAATCTTGGAAGGCATGTTAAAGTCAAAGAAAGATAAGTAAAGGTAAAAAAAACTTGTTCAACCCAAATGCTAACACTCAATATCAGGCATATTAGTCTGTGACCAGAAGAGCTGTAGCTACATTCTGCATGCTGCCATTGTACATTTCCTACTATGAATTTTGCTTGCTTTAATCTTTTTCATCTTCTGTTCAGCTGCTTCATGTTCATGTCTGCCACCTCCTGTTATAGTTGAACATGTTTGTTTTCTTTTATTGGTTGTTTTAATAGATCAGTGTTTCCCCTATATACAAATAGCGGCGGCACAGCTAGGGGGCGCAAGCCAGGTACCCAGGTGTGTGTGTGTGAGTGTGTGTGTGTAGAGGTGTGTGTGTGTGTGTGTAGAGGTGTGTGTGGTTCAAACGTAGCAGCCTACGGTCACTCTTTAGCTGTTCGAATGTAGGTAAACACAGTGTAGGCGGTGCGTAAAAGCTCTTTGAGCGCTGGTGCTGCTCATCTCTGAGTTACACGTCCCGCTGCCTCCCTGGCCGAAATGTCCTTAAAATGAAGTCTGAGTTCGAAATATATCTCAAATAATGTATGCACTGTCATTTCCCCACGTAAACATAACTCTGTAAGACATTATTGAAACAAAGATATTCTGTTATTTGATTGCTTCATTTACCTAGTTCACCGTAAGGCTTGCGGGGCTTCTTCCTCAGACAGGTCATGACGTAGCGCTCCAGCTCCTTCAGTGTCGACGGCTTCAGTGTTTCAAAGTCAATCTCGATCTCCTCGGGGTTGGTGTCCCTCAGGGAAGGCTCCCTGGACTGAATGATGTGGACCACCCGACCCAGCTTCTCCCCCGGCAGCTTGTTGATGTCGAGACTCAGCTGGCGCTTCTCATCGTACGACATGGGCACAAACTCCTCCTCTTCCTCAGAGTCGTAGTGCGGCAGCATGGATGTGGGCGGTGGGGGGTAGAAGGGCTTCTTTGTGGGCCTGCAGAATCAAGAGAAGCATACAGTAAAGTCAGGACAATAGCCCATTATAGTGAGCTACTTGATTTTCTGAATAAGTCATGAAATATACAAGGTTGCGTATTTGTAACTGTAGCTTGAGCAACTCTTTGAAGTGAAAACATGATACAGTTTGATGGTATTTCTGTAGGATGGGTCATTATTTTACTACTGACTTGCTATTCTTGCTACTCTTCTTCCCCTGGCTCTTCTTTGGCTGGGAGCCACCTGTTTTGGCAGACTTGCTTTTCAGGATCTTGCCGGGCATTTTCCATTCCTCAGAGCCAGCTCTGCTTCTTTCAGTTCGACTCCTCTTCTCCAGCTTCTTCTTTTTCTTCTTCTCCTTTTCCTTCTCCTTTTTGTCCTTCTTCTCTTTCTTCTTCTTGGCCTTAATGATGGGGCCTTGAGAGAGGGCGGCGAGCTGCTCGTGCATGGCTTTGAGCTGATCAGAAAATAACATTAAAAGACAATTATCTATGTATCTACAAGTTTGTTTCCACATACAAGATGTTGTGATCAAAGATGACTAACCAATACTAAAGGACTTACTTGTGTGCACACCTGATTCTGTAACTCAGCCAAGCGATGTGCTCGCACTTCTTCGCAGTCGGAGTTAGGGCTGCTCTCACTCCCTTCACTCTCACTGCTTGGCTCACTCTCTGAGGTGGAGGATGATGAGGACGAGGAGGAGGAAGAAGAGGAAGATGATGATGATGGATTGCCACTTATTGACATGGCTGAGTGATCCATATGTGGTACATCTGGCATCTTGGCAAATCGGAACTCAAACACATCCTGGGGCACAAAAAGAAAGCAAATAAAGAAACGTTAAGAAAGGGGAGAAAATGAACAATTAACTGTCACAGAGAAAGGTTTTTTTTCACAGTCTGTTGGCCTGATTATTTTAAAAGTACAATTGGACAGATAAGCTCACCTGCAGTTTCCGTGCCATGCCTACAACATCATGGTCGGGTGGGTTGTACTTGTAGCAGTTGGAGAACATGAGTCTGATTTCGCTAGCAAACTGTTGAGCGTCTCTGTATTCCCGACAGTCCATCTTCCTCTGATGAAGAGACAAACAGTTTTAGAACGTCAACAAAATGTTTTTTTTCCTTCCAGTTATCAGTTTAATACTACTTAATACTAATTGCCAATTACAAAACATAACCCATTTGTCCGGCAGTGGCTCAGTCAGTAGGGGCTTGGACTGTGAGCCGTAGGGTCGCTGGTTCAAGTCCCCGACCAGACCTAAATATGGAGTGTGGACTTCTACTTGGAGAGGTCCCAGTTCACCTCCTGCCCTGCCGTGGTGCCCTTGAGCAAGGCACCGGACACCCCCCTTCCCCCCCCACTCCCATTGCTCCCCGGGCGCTGTACAATAGCTGCCCACTGCTCCTAGTACTAGACTCCTTGTACTAGGATGGGTTAAAAGCAGAGGCCAAATTTCACTGTGTGTGCTGTGTGCTCTGCATGTGTGACCATTAAAGAGGGTTTCATCCCTCCCTATTCTATTCTTCTATTCTATTCTATCATATTTTTTTTTTTAAATGAACATTTTTATATTGAAAGATTTTTTATTATTTATTATTACATGGCTTAGTTGAATACTCGATTCTGATTGGTCAATTCAGAACACGTGACACGTTGTTAATCCAGAACAGACAGACCGCTGTCAAGGATTTATTGACCGTTGTTAAGGACCCTAAACTCCCTACTAATCTTGTAAAAAAAAGTGTTTTGATATGTTATAATTCAGTAATTAAAAAGTTAAAAGCAAGTCACCTTGATGGAGTTGAGGTCCATGGGACATTTAATGATATCATGATAGTCATGAAGTCCCAGTGCAGCTGCGTCCACAGGGGTGTAGAACGGCCAGGCGTACGCTGCATGTTTCTTTGACAACATGTCCTTCAGCAGGCCGCTGCAGTACCTCAGCTGGGGGCTCATTTTGCCCTTCTTCAGGGGCTGAGCCTGGACTGAGTCAGGCAGGTCCTTCTTGGGGGGTTTGATGGGGCGTCCGCTGCCCACTCTGCGTCCACCGCCCGCCATCATTGGCTGGAGCAGGATGGGACCTCCAGGGCTCCTCACCAGGCCCATCCCAGACGGGGTCTCCAGGCTCATGCCCCCCATGGAAGAGATGGAGTGCATGGAGGTGTCGTGGACCTGGCCCCCGTGGCCTCCTTTCCCCAAGCCCACCATGTGTGTTGCTCCTGACATGCCCACAGTTAATCCCATGGTGGAGGGGGTGGTGGTGTCTGCCTTACGTTTTACACCTTTTTTCTAGAAATAAAAAAGTGGGGATGTCACAATACTAAGGTTTAAGTCCATCTTCATCATAGTCCTTTAAGATACATATACTACATGTTTCAGCAGCCCCATAAGCAACCCCACCCTAGACATTTGTGTTAAATTGAATGTGCAAAAGCCTCACTTACTGCTCTCGGTTGTCATTCATTGTTTCATTTAAATGTCATAGACGTTATAGGGGTGTAACGGTATCCGTATTCGTCCCGAACCGCCACGGTTCGGACGTCACGGTTCGGCACATGCAGTCACACGACGAATACGCCTTTTTTTATGAGTGGGAAAAAAGTCTGTCACTCAGGGCAGTATCCATTACACAATATATAATCCAGGGGGCGGTATTGCGCCTAAAAGCTGTTTGCCAGCCGCCCTTAAACAACAAATGAAGAACAAGAAGAAAACACAAAAAAAACGAACAAAATACAAGAAGAAGAAAAGTTAATATGGCGATTTCAGATAAGACACAGGAGCTAGAAGACCCATCTGCTTCTTTTAAATCAGCTGTCTGGGAACATTTTGGGTTCCCTGTGTACTAGAATAACGATGGAGTGCGAGTGGTGGATCGGACGAGGACGATGTGTCGGCGTTGTTCGACAGCGGTGCGGTATGCTAATGGTAACACACGCCAAACATGCTAAATCCTATCAGAAGGCATCACCCAGATTTGCCAATCACCGGAGCCCGGCAAAAGACAACAGCAGTTCAACAGCTTATCCCCGCTGTTTTTAAGAAGCCAATAGACATGAAAGCCGAGAGACCAAAATAAATAACGGAAGCTATTGGCATATATATATTTCAACGACTATGCGCCCTTGAAACACTTTCTTATAATTAATTATTTAATATTTTCAAGACATTCTTTTTAGTTTTACAGCTTGTTTGACATCAGCCATTATAGATAATATGGCCATCTGAGTGTGTGTGGTACTGTTTGTGGTTTGATTTTAAAGGTGGGGTAGGTAAGTTTGAGAAACCGGCTCGAGATCGCTAGAATTTGAAAATACACAACCGGAGAAAATCTGCCACTTCCTTACAGAGCCCCTCCTCCAACACACAAGAACGCGCACATGACCAATGAGGGCACGAGATAAGTTTGTGCACAGATGGAAGACTGACAGGCAGGTAGGCCATCCAGTTATTTTAGCCGGGCCGGCTAAAATGATTGGTCGTACTTTTTACAGTATTACGGCTTCCACCGATGATTTTTTTTTAATGGATTTTTTGTCAAAGCACTTAAGATATTCATTGCTATCGGGATGTTAAGAGCATTCCATGGAATATAACAAAAAGTGTATCTCGAACCGGTTTCTCAAACTTACCTACCATACCTTTAACTGTGTAATACAGTTAATTATTCAAAATGTTAGAGTTCCTTATTTTTAAACTGAAACTTGCACTACTGTTCAAAATAAATAACAACAAACCTGGAATTATGCATTTGGGACTTTTTTTTGCTTTTACTTGTTGTACCGAACCCGTACCGAACCGTGACCCCCAAACCGAGGTACGTACCGAACCGTGAATTATGTGAACCGTTACACCCGAGTCATTTAGCTAACTATAAATAACATTAATTAGTTTATTGTACCTTGGTGGTGGGCTGTGTTAGCGGCAGGCTCATGATGTTAGCCGGTGGGAGGCTTTTGGTTAGCACAGTCTGGGGAGAGTTGGCCAGCATGGACTCCCCCGTGTCCGAGGAAGAAGGGGAGTAGGCTGACTGGGACACTGCCGGCACCTGCTGAGCCCTCGCTGGGGAGAGACAAATATTCAACTTTAGTGATGGGATTTAGCCCTAGATTGAATAGTTATGTCCAAACAGTTCAGAGTAAAGCAAATATCTCAGATATATACAAAACATGTCTCTGAAGTGTTTGGCTCCAAATACCAAACAGATCATGCATTGCAGCATCCCACAAACCCCTCTGTTTCAGCCCTGTTTCAAAAGTGCTGATTCTCTGTCTTTTACTTTAGATCAGGGGTGCCCAACCTTTTTTGAACCAAGAGCTACTTTTAAAGTTGCCAGTCTGCCGAGATCTACCAGTCCAAATAGAGAGGGGGGAGTGCTAGCAAACTGTCAACTGGGGGGAGCCGCGCTGCGGGGAAACGGCGTACCTCTGTCGGTGCAACTTCAATGATGCCTTTTTAAAAACATAAAAAATGAAGGGCGGTGACGGCCGTCAGCGAATTGAGCTGGCCCTTGACGACGGGCTGTTCTGTGATTCTCCAGATTCTACAGATGGCCAGTCCACGGAGGACGTGCAACGGGACGGTGTTCCCATGGGAAACAAAACTTAAAATATTAAATGAAACAATCTCATTTCTTAAAATTCACAACTTATTATGAATTAAACATTCACAAACTTATAATTATGTATTCACACGCAACGAACAGAAGAGCGTAGGGCAGAATTAGGAGGGAATTCCGTCTCGTAGCGTTTGTGCACCGTTTTGAAATGCCGCTCTAAATTACCCTTCTTTGGTAAAGCCACGCTCGCATTGCAGATGAGACCGATGGACTTTGAATTGGAATAAACAAAAAAATAATCATCCTCCCACTCGGAGTGAAAATGATATATTTTGGGCTTTTTTGCTTCTGCCATAATTGCGGTCTTGTGTGTGTGTGCGGACTCACTGTCACTCCTGTTGACATGGACAACGTCTGCTAACTAGTGCCCACTGCTAACTAGTGCCCACCAGCAACGCCCCGACACATGGGGTCATGCCAATCACAAAGCTTTGATGCGTTCAAGTGCATTATTCTGGCACAGGAAGATTATGTTATAGGACATTAACGATGAAACAGAATATTGTTGTTCCATTTTTAGACACATCTCGCGATCGACTGGGAATCTCCCCGACTGGTTGGGCACCCCTGCTTTAGATGAAAATAAGGAGCCACTCCCCACGCCCCTCTGAGAGATATTTGATTAAAAAGAACACAATGGTCCTCCAGGAGGAGATTCAGGTGATAAGGTGGGGGGGTGTTACCTTGGTTGGTTTTTGGCTAATTGTTACACAAGCCAAAAAATCGTTATGACATAAAGTGGCCAACATCTGATCAGCTCATTTTCAGACAGTTTTTTATATAAATGGATCAGGAAAGAAAGTGAGCAAATCTTTTTTCCTGAAACTTTCAGAATCTCTTTACACAGAGGGGACACATATTTATGTATAAAAGACATGAAAAAGTGGATTTTGCATAATAGGTGATCTTTAAAGTTGCTGCTTATATGAATGCTACGATAGAAACTATTTCAAAATCTGCAACACAGTCACAAACTCACAGTTAAATTTGCGACCTCCTCCCCGGCTGTTCTTGCTGCGAGGAGTTGGAGGAGGCAGCTCAACCTCTTCCTCGGGCATCTGGGCCACCTTCTGGAGGAAGATCTTCTCTAAGGGCTGGGCCATCAGCACAATGTCGTCGTTCGGCTACCCAAGGAAACAATTTATAAAAACATTAGCACGCTATTAAGAAGCCTTAACAGTAAAACAAAAACTTTTTTTTTCTTGGAATAGAGATTTATTTGAATACACTTTTTAAGTCAGTGTTGTAATGATGTACAAATCATGAACAGTCTGAAAAAACCAAACATTTGCTTGGAACAACTTCCTAAATGCTTGCCATTTGTTCTGGAGTTTGACATTGTTTCTAATGTGTTACAAATTAAATGAATAACAAAAAGGTAAAAACAGTGGAACATGGATGAAAAATATTTTTTAATTATCTGAATCAACCCTCGCTGCTAAGAAAGAATCAACTTTTTTTTCGGATTCTTTACAACTACAATTATTACAACCACGGTCACGATACTTGACTCTATCGAAGATTTATTAAAGAAATCATTGAATGCATCTTTGATTTTCATCCGAAGTTTAGTACATTTCCAGAGAAGTTGTCTGATTTGTTAAAACAAGTAATGGATCTCCCCTAAATCTTATGAGGCAGCAACATGTTTGAGTTGAGGATGCTGATGTCATTAGTTTCTTTGTCAACTTAGCATTTCCATTTTCACTTTTGCATAACAACAAGTTAAATGCAGTACATGCAAGTTAGCACAGGTTATGTTATGACTTAAAATAGCATCCCAGACAAGTTCCTGTTTGCAAAGTGTTGGATAACCCCTTTCTCATGGGAAATAAAGAGGTGTAAAATGTCCCTCTCTCGGAATCTTAAAGGGGACCTATTATGCAAAATGCACTTTTTGATGTCTTTTATACATAAATATGTGTCCCCGGTGTGTCAGGGAACTCAAAAAGTGTCAGAAAACAAAACCCTTTCTCTTTTCCTCCGTACCCATATCTCTACAAAAAAAAGAAAAAGGGGGGGGGCTAACAAGCAGATCCAGAATTTTCGCTCCTATAACGTCATTGGCAACATCCGGCCGACGTGACACGTCCCAACCTATCGTCTCCGTATGCAGCTGTGTGTCTGTGTATTCAGCAGGATGTCTGCTGGAGGCTTAGAGTAAAGTTGATATATATATATATATTATTATATATTATTATATATTATATTATTATATATTATTATATATTATATTATTATATATTATTATATATATATATATATATATATATATATATATATATATATATATATATTAATAATAATAATACATATAATGGCACTGTTCTAGCGGTAAACACTTAAGAAAGAACATGTCAAGCTATGTGCTGTATCAGAAACAATGCGCGGTGTGTTTTGGGAGTAATATGCTGTGTGTTTACATTAGCAAGCATGCTAACCATGGAGCTAACGCTGTAGGCTACTGGAGAGAATATGTGTAACGTAATGTCCTTGTGGTAAACCCTGCGAGAGAGAAAGGTTTGAGCTCCATACTGTTTCATAAATAAAGCTTGAAGAGGTTAGGAGCATAACATGGCCTTTAATCACTGCAGCGTTTAGCTGAGTTTCTCCCGGTAGAAATGTCTCTCTGGCAGGGGAACGCTGCGTGACACTACAAAGGGGCGTGGCTAGCAGCAGCCGTTCAATTTAAAGCAGAATCAGCCTGTTTGCAACAGGGCTGCAAAAGAGGGGTATGAGCAGTATGAGGCATGGCTACAATGGGTGATCTGTTTGGTATTTTAAGCAAAAAACTTCACAGACATGTTTTGTATAGGTATGGCCTTACAATATATTTTTTCAATATAGCATAATAGGGCCACTTTAAAGGAGAGGTGTCATGCTTTTCCGGTTATTACCCGTCCCCTTGTGTGTTATGAAGGTTTTATGCCTGTAAACGGTGTGCAGAGTCAAAACCCTCAAAGTACACCCTATAGCGAGTAAAACTCTAACACAGAAAATACCTCCCCAAAACGCCTCGTTGGAGATACGTCATTGTCCATTTGATTCTTCCGGGTACGGCATGATGTCAACCCGTACCCGGAACGAAATGGACCAATCCGTGGAGCAGTTACGTCCGCGGAGCCGTTACGTTAAGCCCCCGCTGATTGGTCCAAATTGACCAATCCACGGACTTCCTCACACACACATCTGTGTGCAGGGAGCAGGCAGCTCAGCTGATTTCTCCTCCCTGGCTGCAGGCTGATAACAGACAGTTGAGATCGCGGCAAAATTCTCTCTGCAGACCCATTCTCACAGCGTTTATCAAGCCGTTACGTTAAGCCCCCGCTGATTGGTCCAAATTGACCAATCCACAGACTTCCTCACACACACATCTGTGTGCAGGGAGCAGGCAGCTCAGCTGATTTCTCCTCCCTGGCTGCAGGCTGATAACAGACAGTTGGGATCGCGGCAAAATTCTCTCTGCAGACCCATTCTCACAGCGTTTATCAACCTTTTTCTTACTCAATATCAAGCCACACTTATTGTTTTTACTTCGGATGTGAGTTTGTGTGTGCTCAGGATGAGTTTGGCTGTGTTTCGCTATGTATCCTAAACAAGGAAACAACACCTCCACGGAGCTCAGCGCGATTCACAACGTCCCGACCAATCAGAGCACACTGCTCACAGGGAGGGTGGGGGCTGGAGCTTTTGGAGCTACAACGAGCCGTTAAAGGCAGAGAGTGAAATTCAGTGAATACAAGTAGTTTACAGTACAGAGATGCTGTATGAGAAACCAATGTGAGTTTGGAAAAATGCACAGTATAAATCTATTTTAGTATACCTCAACAATGGAATTATGATCAGTGGAAATGGCCATGACACCTCTCCTTTAAGTGAACCTCCAGGTCTGCTTCTGGGCCTCGATCATCAAAAAACATAAAAGTTTTCTATCGTCCGTTAAAACTAGGATATGTTACCAGTGCCTTGAGTCTATATACAATCATTTATTATCCCAGGTCTGGGTAAGGTTCACATGATATGTAATCTGTTTTTTTACCTTATAACCTACCTTGTTGTAGATGTAGCAGTTGGTGAACATTGTGTTGAAGTCCTGTATGCACTCACTTGCACTGCGATAGTAATTGTTCTCCAGGCGCTTTTTGATGGTCCCCATATCCATGGGTTGTTTGATAATTTTATGGTAATCCTTAAAAAACATAATGAAAAAGACAAAGAAATGTTATTAAACAAAATGATGGAGCAAATTGACCAAATCAGAGACATAAATAAAACTTGACAGATATCAAATGAAAAAAGAAAGGGAAAGTCTGATGCGCTTGCGTTTAACTCACCGGCAGGCTAAGCCTGTAGGCATCCACAGGCTCGTGGAAAGGCCAGGCAAACTGATGCCTCCACAGTGACTTCATCAGGGTCTTCTGGAGAAACTGCAGCTGGTTGGTCATGCGGCTCGGCCGGCTGGGATCCTTCACCGGAGGCTGTGGTGGGGGAGGAGGACCCTGAGGCATCATGTGCGGCAAAGACGGGCTCTCAAAGTCTTCGTACAGCAGGGAGGGCTTACGAATGCGTTTGCCCGAACTACTGTGTTGGTCCATCCCGCCGCCGGACAACCCAACCAGGGAGCTGATGGGGAGGAGACGAAGAGGATGAGATAAAGATAAGAGGGAACAATCAGAAAAAACCTGCAGGACCTAAGATGCTACCTCACATTAAAGTTAGAATGAAATTGCAAACATCATATCACTTTTTTAGAGATTATAAAAAAAGGAGAACAGTGAACACATATTTAGGAGGAAAGAAAAAGAAACCGGTCAACAGCAAGAATGTTCGGCTAGTGAAAGAAATTGCACTTATAAGTTCACAGTACTGTATGGCCTTTGTTAACCTCATTGATGCAGCCATTGATTCACAAATCTGCTACCCACGTCCATGGAAAAAGTGTATTGTCATAAAGTGCAGCCTTTTTATATGCTTTATTCCACTGAACCATGACAACTGAATATGGCTCTGTCCTCCCAGTCAGCGATCCGTCATCTGGGAAACTCAGATTCTATCAATAGGCTGCTACTTTTAGCACAGACATGGGAACAACCATAGCATGGCCCCTCACTCTTAACAAAACATTAACTTGTAATAAGTCTAATAAGACCCCAATATCTATTATATCACACAAATCCAGAAAAAAAAAGAATATATATATTTGTTTTTACTTTGACTCATTAAGACATTATAAATCATGGGAAAATAATGATGGGATTTAGCATTAGGGATTTGTTGTATACGACACAAACAATAGGATCGTGAATTACATCTTTGTTATTTCCTGACACTCATACTCAATGAGATTTATATGTTTTTTATTATTTGTTAACTGCAATGATGCACAAGGTTACTGCACAACCACAACTAACTACTAATGTTAATAAACATAACAATAAAGCTAATACATAATGAATATCCAACACATAAATACTTTCCTAAAACAGGTCCTTATAAGCAGGGCACGTTGGGTTCAAATCAAGTCTGCTCTTGTCGGTACAATATTTTTTTCCCTCCTATTTACAAAATAATGAATGTCAGGGATACTCCAGCAAATGCCCTTGATTTGAGGCACTGTGGCCTCAAAATTGGAGTTTGTCCTTGGGCAGTACAGCTGCTCAGAACTCGTACAGTTAGCATTAAGAATTTGTAGGACACATTTCCCAAAAGGAATTGAAGAACTTAAGTTTTAGAAAAGAGACTCTAAAGATCAACTTATCAGGCATCTCTTCAGACTTAGCTGTGGTTCAACACAACTACATGGACAAATTGTAAATAGGCCCAACAAGTCTCTCTGTCTATGAAGTTAGATGAGGTCATCATGTCACCATAAACCCTATTGTTCCATTTTTCCACTTTATCTCCCCAGAGCACATGAACCAGATTTAGAAAAAGTTAAATCTCACCCAGAGTTCAGGACACGACACACACTTGCCCCACTGACACACAAGCTGTGGCAAAGCCTGTGAGCGCATTTTCTACATCATTCAGAATGCCAGCAACACAATGAGAGGCTGCACCACATTAGCATTTAGAAAAACATGAGCCATTGTGTATTGAAAACATACAATATAAACTTCCAGTCAAATGTATTAATTTATTTAAGCTTTCCAGATTATTTATCAAGTATTATGTAATTTTTATTTAATCGAAACAATAGAGATTTATTCGTTTTTTTGTGATATTTTACTTGAAATGCACTAGAAAATCTTAATCACTGTAATAATGAAAATGTAGCTATATTTGTCTTTTTGGTATTCGTTTATTTTTTTACGGGGGTTACTGGTAATGATTTTGTGGTGCTTCTGTGTCCACGGAGTAACGGTAATAGCTCTTAAATATAATGGTTTCATGCCTATTTTACCACAAAAAATATATATATATATCTCAATCATGTGGCTTTCGCACGAACAAAAAGTATATACATGATTATAAAAAAATGTCTGGCAAACATGTGTCGTGACACAGACGATACTTTGTGCTGTAAACATTTGCTATTAAAAATAAATATACATTAAGTTATTGTTGTAGAAAATTATTGTTCCATGGGAATTAACCTTAGAGGCATTTTATAAGTTCTTTACCTTTTGCACACTTAATGTTTGGAAGCATTGCATTGTGTATCGAAGCATTCAAATAAGATGAGCAGGACCTTGTAGATGTTCTTGACTCCTGTGGTAAAGACACAACAACGTTTCCCTCCTTCAAGGTTTTGTGATATTACTGCAGTATTTCAGGCTGAGCATATGCAATGTTAATACAATGATATAGTCAGGTAATGACAACTGAGCCTCAAGTGACAGTTGACCTTAAGTATACTTTTCCCACATCAATAATCCTCTTAGCTCATCAATTCTACAGTAAATTATTTTTAAATGCAGTCTATTACGTCGTGTCATGAGAATTAATCGTCCTGCATGAATCCTAACGTCTTAATATACGATATAGACTACTGTTTTATTATTAATTAGTTAACATTTACAGGTTACTAATGTGGCTTTGTGTTTTCAACCTGCATTGCATAAACGTATAGCCTTACTTAAATGTCTCAGTTCTCACACAATAGAGCTAAAAAGCACCGTTGTTTTCTTTCAAAACAAAGAATAGTCAGACTCTTGGTTTTACAATTCAACAGCTGGTGATCGCGTGGTTCGGACGCCCCGCCCTCACTGTTTGTAAACACTGCCTCACAATGACAGAAAAGAATAATGGGGAGAAAGTTAATGTCAAATCAAGAACAAGAAATCCTTATTATGCTCTAGGAAAGGCTACATTGTGATTCCGTTAGTCGATCCCACTCATTCTCCACTGCATACAACGTTATAGCACCGGAACAGGAGCTATGAAGCTAACCAAACAGCTAACGCGCCACCGGACGGTAACACTGCCTGACGAATCGGTTAATATGGGGCTGCTACATGTCGCAAGATATGTGTATTAAGCATGTGGTATACTGTCTACATTTCCAGTTATGTTCTGAGATAGTCACATGAGCAGTGGGATTAGCGTTTGCAGGATGTCTGAGCGATGAATGACCGACTGACAGAAAGCCGGGCGGGGAACCAGCCGATGGGGCTGCAGCTGTCATGATCTGCCTCCCTTTAAGCGAGCTCTCTACAGAAGCTAAAAGCTAAAAGAAAAGGGCTGCACATAAAGTGCAAACACATTTAGCTGCAATGAAGTAAACAAGTCATGTTTTGATAGTCTGCTTTAAAAGCTAGCTAAACAAGGCACTGTACAGAGACAACCGTTTGCTGACAAGCTAGCGTTGTTATCGAGAGGCTAACGGTAACTAACGTAGCTAATGTTAAATGATGCACTCAAAGCTAACGTTAGTCTTTCTTTCAAGACATTTACATCGTTTCATTTCACAAAGGTGTGGACAGAAATTACAGCGCGCTTTACCTGTCGTGATGCGGGTTGACGGCCGCTTCCATTGGCCTGTAGGCGGAGTGTTATTACAATCCAATTTTTCCACCACTGTTTACGCTGCACTTCCACTGTTACACCACTAAACAACCCCAAAATGAAATGGCGACCTATCGCTTCCGCTTGAACCTTATATAAACCTCCGCGTGGCCGTGTTGCGTACTTCCTGTCACGTTAGGGGTACTTCTGCCCTCCTATTGGCTGTAACTAGACGTCTATCAAACAGCACACGCCCAGCATCTTCATGGTCGGTACTCAGTCATATTTGAACCATGGAGCCACAGGCGTCATTTGCGCTGGGGACGCTGGAGACATGTCCCCACCACTTTTTGAAATGGCCAATTCTGTCCCCACCACTTTTTAAAAGTATAACGTACAAATGTTCTGAAAAATAGCGTGCACAAAGGAATGTAATAAACAAGAACACTGGTTTAGTGTCAATATGTGCAATTTGTACATGTTAGTATACTTTTAATTTAAATTGTAAAAAAAAACATTGCTCCCACTTTGCAGCAGCAGGGCGAAGACACTGCACTTTAATAAATGTAAGTGAAAATAAATGTAGAAATACATTAAAGATATATAATGTGTGTTCTTTTTAATTCTCTACTTATATTTTTTTCTTGTGTTTATTTAAATTCTCTGCATTTATTCCCACATTTATTTATGTATTCCTGTATTTGTTAATTTTTTCTTGTCTATATTTATTCCTGTATTTATTTCCAAATGTATGTATTTATTATTCCTGTATTAATTTATTTTTCTTGTGTTTAGTTATTCCTGTATTTATTTCCACATTATGTTCTTGTATTTATTGATTTTTCTTGTGTTTATTTATTCCTGTATTTATTTCAGTTTTTTCCACTTATTTATGCATTTATTTATGTTTGACTTATGCTGGTAAATTATTCTTTCCTCCATACCTGTGTGCTCTTTGTGTGCATAAAGGTACACATTTAATCCAAATCACATCACAAGACCTATAGTTGGGCATTCATTATTTTCAGAACACATTGGTGGTCCAGAGGTCTATGCATTAGTTTGTCATGCAGGTGCTTGAGGTTCAACACCCAGCGGAGGGACATCTTTGGTCCACTGCTATGCTGATGTTAAATCTGGAGAAATGCCCCCACCACTTTTTCTAACAAAAATGCATGGAACACAATAGCAGCGTTGAATCTTTTTATTTTTTACATTATGGCTTCAAAGTGTTCACAATTACGACTTTACTTAAACAAATGAACTAATTTTGTCTGCAGGGAATGGTGGAATTATTATGTTTTTTTTTTTTAAACAATTTACCATGTATGTACAAACATATTTGCATTAAGACCAACAGGATCAGGTGAACATGTAAAAAACCAGAAACATAAATAAAGTTGAAGTGCTAGCGATATTTCGGAAATGATATTCTTCTATTATGCATTTGATTAAACCTTTGTTGCATGTTTGCCATGAATCCATAAATAATTTCCTTAAAATAAAAGTTTCTTTAATGTACACATATTTAAGTTGTGTCAAGCCATAAAGCTTCAGAATAAATCAGTAGTTTGAGTATCATTACAAAAATAGAATTCCTTAAAAAACTACATTTCAGCCCTTTTAGCCATGTATTATAATTTTAGAAACAAAAAAGCTCAAACTGTAATCGTTCATTTTCTGATAGAAATGCAGGGAAAAGCTATCAAACAAGCCTATTTGATAAAACAATCACAATATACACAATATATACAATCACATCATTACACACAATCTTAAATCTCTAAAATGATTATAGGGATTTAAGATTATAGTCTAATCTAATCTTATTATTTACTTCTGCTTTTTTTTTGCAGAATATCAACATAAAACGTGTGTATGAAGCAAAGAAGTGTGTGATAAACTATCTTCAAGATGATTTCTTGTAATATTATATTTTGCTATAATGTTATGTTTGTTGTGAAGCACTTTGGCAAACCCTCTGTTTTTAAAATGTGCTATAGAAATAAAGTGGATTGGATTGGATTGGATGATTCATATTCACACCCATTGGCATATTGCAACTCCACCTGCTTCAAAGGGGCATGAAGAAGGGAAATATTCCTAATAGGCAAATACTCACAACACTTGTATGTATGGATAATAATAATAATAATAATAATACATGACACTTATTACATTACATGTTACTTGTTAGACGCTTTTATCCAAAGCGACTTACATACTCAATAATGTGGACAGTCCCCACAGGAGCAATTTTGGGTGAAGTGTCTTGCCCAGGGACACAACGACATGCTGACTGCAGTGGGGTTTGAACCTTTGACCCCCTGATCCGAACACCAACACACAACCCACTGCGCCACACACCTCCACGTAGCCCTTTTCCAAAAACTCAAAGACTCTTTGATGTATACATTTTGGTCTCACAACTCAGTCGTTATTTAAAGCTGGAGTTTTGCCTCTTCATGTCTTGATTTTTAACTAGCAACTTTCCGGTAACACGTCTGCTTTTCTGATTTGAGGGCAACCCCTGCACGCACGTATCACTGAGCATCATTCTTCACCTCTTCTTGACGGTGAAAGCCCATATTCTGCTTTCTTAACAGTTCAGCATAAAGGCCGCCTTTCCTCGACAGCTCATCGTGAGTGCCTTCCTCCTTCAGCGTACCATCGTCGAGGACAAATATATGATTGGCCTTCTCTACAACACTCATCCTGTTGGATATCAACAGCACGGTGCAGTTGTTGGTTTGGTTCAACAAAGCTTGCTTCACCTGTTGAGTACAATAATGACTTAGTGTTACATGAAGAAATCTGGTTAATATGAGCAAAATGTATGAAACTCAGAGCAAGAATTTCCTACCTGATATTCATTCTCTGCGTCCAAGTCACTGGTGGCGTTGTCCAGGATCAGGATTTTGGGACGTCTGATTAAAGCTCTGGCAATGGCGATGCGTTGCTTCTGTCCTCCTGACACCTGGCCTCCCTTCTCCCCGGCATCTGTGCGACACAAGGGCATGCTGTTATTGTGTTTATGTACATCTTTGGGGAGCAGTGCATTTTTTATTGCATGAGGAAAAACCACAAGATGTACTGTTGGTTAAACGAGCACTTTCTCATTTTCAGATTCATACTTGTTTCTAATAGAACATGTTTTCATGCTAAGGTGATCAACTTACTCTAACTGTATTTCTGAATATACATTTATTATCCTTTACTTTTGAACCACGTTTTCCATTTCTTTCCAGTAGTATATAACAATAACAGAAAATAAATGGATGCATTACCTGATTTAAATTTGAAATGGTTTAAGTTAATATGAGTTTTTGCTAAACTTGATACGGTGATCTAGCTACTCTACTGTAGCTGTCAGTAATAATATTAAAGTGTTATGTTAATGAAATTGAAGAACTTTTATTACTATCTAAGCTTGTTTTTGGAGGAAACATAATCATATGGTTTTCAATACCTGCATATACTCTGTTACCAAGACACCCTGTCACCCTGTTTCTACTACTAAGAATATGTAGATGATTCTAACATTGTGCAAACATTACAAAAAAATTATATTCTTTTAATTCCAGGAAGTAAAAAGAACCGATTGGAAGAATTACACATAAGGATTGAATGCTAATGGATTGTGTCGTGGCTCGGACCTGTGTCGTATCCCTTTGACAGCTCCATGATGAAGTCGTGTGCACTGGCCAGCTTGGCAGCTATGTACATATCCTCATCAGAGGCATCCTCGCGGCCGTACTTGATGTTCTCCCGCACAGAGCGAGCAAACAGCAAACAATCTTGGCTCACCACAGCAATCTATAAATAAACAGGATGCACAGGAAACGTCAGTTGCTGTGGGACTGTTGATTTACAATGAGCGTAACATCTGACAAAAAATAAGCAGAAATTGCTACTAAGTGTTCTTGTAATATTCCTGTGACAAACATATAAACCTACAGGGTTTCAGCTTCCAGGCTGTATCTTGTTATGTCTTTTTTCATCTTAATGCCCAAAAAAAGAATGCAGTAATTACGCTTCTTGATATTTCTGCCATAAAGAAAGTTCTCAAAAGACTTGATAACTGAATGCAGTCTTTACTGTTTGAATATGCTGTTCTTCTTGGTGAAAAATAGATATCTCAATTATACAAATTAATGTCTTTACGCATTCAACATAGGAATGCATTCGAAGAAACATTGATCCCTGGTTAAAACACATCATGGGTCCTGTACGTTTCTGATTATTGTGCTCAATGAAAGTCAAATTAGACACTTTCAGCTTAAAATATTCGAAAAAAAATTGGTCCTGTAGAAACCTTGTCACGTAGGTACTGGTCTTTGTAGTTTGTCAGAGGTTTCCCATCCAGTAGGATCTCCCCTGCTTGGGGCTGGTAGAATCTCTCCAACAGCTTGACGCAGGTGGACTTCCCCGATTTGTTGAGCCCAACGATGGCAGTGACTTGGCCTGGCTTTATATCCAGAGAAACTTCCTGGTAGATGAGAGGAATACGATGAATTGATAAATACTTGTATTCAGTAGGGATGCTCGGATAGCCAATTTTGGGGCCGATCGCCGGAATCAGTATCGGCCGATACCGATCACCGATACCGATCGAGTGGGCGGGGCCTACGGGGATCTTCCATTTAAAGTGATGTTTACAACTCAGTTAATGGGGCTCATTCACTGGCGCTTCCACAAACAACAACCAACATAATTATTACATTCAAATTAAGTACATTATTCAAGTTTACATTAACTTTGGATAATAACACGGGAGAAATGAGCGGAAGCGCTCTCTTTTCCTCTCTCCCCCTCGCTCTCTCTCTCCTGACAGCCTGTCAGTATCTCATGCAGCTCGCTGATCCAGTAATGAGTGACCCAACAGTGAAGAATAAATATATGTATAACTAGTTTAGCTTGTTCCAGAGGTAGATATAATAGCTTAGTGTGTTAGGTCTAACTCTTAGTGTGTGTTTTGCTCCGCTCACCGGTCCGTCACAGCGGGTGGAGCTGCAGGATTTCTGCTTCACACACGTTGCATACCGCTATTTTATTGTCATTTTCGGACACCTTAAAATACTGCCAGACTGGTGAAGCCATTTTGGCGAGCTTGTTTTGCACAGAGAAAAGTGTCATGTATTTTACGTCATCATTTTTACGTCATGCGATCGGCTCTCGCGATCGGCATTTTTAGAGAGCACCGATCGATCGGCAGAGAGTGAGTATCGGCCGATATTGATCGGCGGCCGATCGATCGGAGCATCCCTAGTATTCAGTATGTAGTTGTATTAAATGTAAGATGAAATACATGCACAACAGTTAAACATACCTTGAGCACAGGACTGCTATTGTCTGTACTCCCGGGATAGGAAAATGTAACATCTTTGAACTGAATGTGTCCCTGAAGATCTTTGGGGGACAAAGTGCCGTTTGCTGGTAATTGAGGGTTGCGATCTAAATATTCAAAGATTTTCTCAGAGGCACCAATCGCCTTCCTCACTGCCGGGTAATATTGCATGACAGCCTGAAAGAGAGGTGGTAGAATGAGGCACATTTTAATTGAACTGAAATACATTTATTTTGAAAAAGAATTCTGTCAATTCAATTTTCATTCAAGTTTTATGTTGGCTTGTAGCTTACCTCTACAGCAGAGGCAAACTGAAGCTCATAGAGGACGAATGACACCAAGTCTCCACTGCTGACCTGCCCCCTGGTCACAAGAGTCCCTCCATAGTACAGAATGCACACCTTCAGGGCCAAGGTCGTCATCTGGGAAACAATTAAAAACGGGTTAAACATTTAATCATGCAGATGTGTCTCTCTGTAGTTGGCGTAAAGAAGTGGAATTATTTGCCGAATGATTTAAAGGGCGGTAAGAACATGTATATGTTTAAGAAAATGTATAAAGAAAGCGAAATTAGACAGTATGAAGTTGACTTTTGATTGTGTTCTGGTTTTATGTTTCAGTATTTGTAAGCAACTGTGACTGAAAGAATATTGCTTTTATTGTACCTTTTTATGGTTATTTCATTTTTATTTATTTTTTAAGAAGGGGCAGGTAAAATAAGATTTTCTTCTCACTGCCCCTTTCCACCATGCGCTTTCAAAAAAAACAAAACAGTATAAGGGTACATGTTTTGTTTTAAAATAACTGCCATGTGTGGAATAAACAAATAAATAAATAAAATAAAGCTACTGCATTTAATTGTATTTAATATACTTCAACGAAAGCAAAGGTCAAAATCACTGGCCATTGCATGGTGAAATGTCAAAACTAATGGAGGTTGAAAGTATATTTCTCAGTTTTTTCCCAAGGTTCTTAGTGTCTTGATAGTAATTTTAGCATACGAGCATGGTCGCATATTTTAACCCCACCAATGACTTATACTCACAGATACATTTAGGCTTAGAAATCGCTGCACACAACCCATATCAGTATTCAACTCACACTGTTAGCCCAGGTAGAGGTTGCATAGGCCAGTGCTTCCTTTTTGTTGAGAGAGTAAGTGTCCTCCAGCCGCTCTCTGTACCTCTCTGTCTGTCCATCTTCGTTGGCAAAGCTCCTCACCGTCTTCATGTTGGAGAAAGTCTCCGTGGCCACCTGGTTGGCCTTAGCCAGAGACTCCTGAACCTTTACAGCAATAGTCTGTAACATGGATAAATCAAAATGACACGTTACATATTTATACATCAAAACAGCGGACTAATTGTTGCAGCTCTACTAATAAAAATACGAGACATATCAGGAAGTCTTCTTTACCTGTTGGAAGTGTCCAATGAGCTTGGGTATGACCCAGATGATGGGCAGTCCCATACAGGTAAGCAGAGACATTTTCCATGACTGGCTCACCATGAAGAACATGAGGAAGGCCAAACGCGCCGTGTACCACATCACAAGACTTAGTTTCTCACTCAGAGCCTCACTCATGTCATTGGTATCCGTGGTAACCCGGGACACTAGTTCACCTAAGAAAAGAGTTGTGCATGTACCACACATTTTGTCAAGTATATCTATTAGGAAATTCATTACTATAAAGAAATGGGCTTGGCTTCGATAAGAAAGTGTGTAGCATAAGTGAAATAAATGGATTTATTAATGATGACTGATTGTGTACAGAACCTTTTCCTTAAAGATTACTTTCTGTTGAGTTAGTCATATATACAGGACACGCATGATTTACCTGTTGTAGTTGCCTCAAAGAAAGCAATCTCCTGTTTCAGCACAGCCTGGAAGACGGCCCCCTGCACTGAGGTGTGTATGCAGCTCATGGTGACGACGTACATGAGGTCACATACAAACTCAAGCACAGCACTGAAACATAGGACACAAGACACATTACAATGTTAAGTAACCAAAATATACAGTAAGTACTTAACACCTCTACTTTTTAAAATCATTTTCAGGTACTATACAAACTTAGAACCGGTCAAAATAATTAGGTAAAAGGTTGCATTACCTGGCAAAAGTCATAAGTGTCATGACTGTGATGGCCTCTGTGAATGCATCTGGTGTTTCTTCATTTATGATCCAGTCCGCCACACGACCAGTGTATTTAGGGATGGCCATCTCACCTGAGGTCAGAAATTCACATCAAATAAGTATAATTTAAATATGTTATGTATAGCCATTCCAAGCTTCACAATTTTAACAGAAAAACAGGAATGCCCTAATAGCTGTACTTATAAAATGCCTCTAAAAATACTTGATGCTAAACTAATTGCTTGTCGACGACTTCATCATTAAATAATGAACGAAGCTTAAAAAAACCCAATAAAACTAAGAGATATCATTCTGAACGTTGCAGTTGTATGAGAACACTTCATATAAATGATCAACGACAAGCGAATAATTTAAATGAAAGTGTCCTACCCAAAGAAGAGAGGATTACAAGAGTCAGCACAGAGACAAAGCGCCAGAAATAAGGCTGCATGTATCCCATCAGCCTCTTCAGAGGGTCACAGGTGTCTTCCTTAGGCTTCTCAGATGGCGCCTTCTTCATCAGAGAGGAGATGTATTGACCACATGAGAGCAAAAGTGATGACACATATCGACTCCAGTAAAGCCATGCCACTGCCGTCACAACATAACCCTGTAACACCTGCAAAACAAAACACAGGTTCAATACACAAACCAGAAAAATATTATTGGAAATACATATTTGAATGCCTCAAATGATTCTGACAGGAGTTGGGGTAAAGCAAAAACAACATTTCTAAAATGGAGGATGTATTCTCTTCTGACTTGTTTGGTTTTGGTTTCAGTCTTGTATCTGTTGACATTGTTGTTACAGAAAGAGGGCTGGTAACAGTAGAGATTATTTAGGAAAAGCAACTAACCCTAACTTTTACAACATTTATTAATCCATAGCTATGCATATTATTATATAAAATCATCACAGTTATATCTAAAATCCTAATCTGCAAAGTACCCAGTTAATATAGCTATCAGATACATGTACAGTATTAGAGCAAACAGTACAGTATTTCCCTCTGAAATGCTGTTGAGTAGATGTATACATTTAAATGAAATGTTAATATTCAGGTACAGTACAGTTACCTCACAGTTATGCTTAGCCACATTGCAACAATAGCATCTACCCACTCACCATATCTGCCAAGTGGCCTTGAGTAAAGGAGTTTAACCACCTTCATATCATACATTTTAAGACATCCATGTTTTTTACTAGTTTAAATTGGGGTACAAAAGCCTTAGCTGCTTATCTGGAAGTCTGGCGAGTTTTCTATCAGCACGTTCACACACACACACACACACACACACACACACACACACACACACACACACACACACACACACACACACACACACACACACACACACACACACACACACACACACACACACACACACACACACACACACACACACACACACACACACACACACACACACACACACACACACACACACACACACACACACACACACACACACACACACACACAGGATAGGGAGCAACAATGCATCATGGGCCCTGCACTAACATTGTCACCCCCGCAGCAACATAAGGTGTTAAGAAAAGTGCCTGCTATTATATTGATGTTATCCCTCCTGCAACAAACACATCAATATATAAAACACAGCCACCCACCCTTTCCCAGGAGTGCCACCCCCACACTTCATCCAAGGTAGACTGATCTAGAGCCCAGAGAAGAGTGATGAACACAGGGAAGTGGAAGCAAAGGACCGCTAAGCTCTGAATCCCCTCGAAGCTCCTCATCCACAGCAGGCTTCCAGGGGAGGTAAGGGTGAAGAGGGCGAGGAGGCAAGCCCTGGCCAACCCTCCTCCCCACAGGGTGATGAACGGATGAAAGACTATGGCGGATGAGATATGGGCCAAGCGGATGGCGTGCACCACACACACATCCAGGCACACGAACAGTAGGGGGGAGAAGTAGCTCATTTTTTGCATAATGCCCAGATTCTGCAAATACAAGTGACAGGGGGGAGGGTCAGTAGCTGTAGTATATTCAAGTCAGACACACATAGACAGGAAACACAAAAAACATATATATAAACACACAGCACCAAAGGGTCATTTTTAGACACTATGTACTTGACTGTGCAGTGTGAAGAGGTGCTGTAATGCATGGTATTCATAATTGTATAATGTGTTTTATATGAGGTAGCTGGATTGAAAGTGATACAGCATGTTTGTTTTCATAATGACTAATCAAGCTATGTAATGTATGACATTTTAGCCTGTTTACCACTTGATAACTATACAAACTAAGACAAAAACGTTATATTGCATGAACTTCGTGGTGAGAATCTACTTTCAGTTTGCAGCAGTGTTCTGCATGAAGTTACTTTCATTTTCTTCCACGCTGCGGATTTCTTTGAAACGGTTCCACAGTAACCCCAAGTCAAACCCACCCAACGAATAAGCTAAACACTCTTAAATACAATATTGCTATGCAGTATTATTAAGTCGAACTGTAACGTATGCTTATGGCAAAGCTTGATAGCCCAGTTTAGCTGCTAGTAGCATTACAGTTGTTTATATTCAACTTACATTTCCTTTCGACCAACCAAGTCTGATGTGAAGGTTTGAAATTAGCCTGAGGACGGAATCTGACACCGATATTTCTCTTACAAACTCATTGTTTTTAGTTAATCCCAACAGCCTGCTAGCTCAAACGTCGACCGAGTCTATCTGTCTGTAACTGAAACCGAAAGTAAACTATTTATATCGTTTTACAGCGGAAAGTCCCATATCTGCCACAGTCACGGACGAAGACTAACGACTTATAACATGCTCTTTGGTTATATGAAGTTTGGTATTTATCCCAAACCATGCTTTCAAAAACTATAGTAAATGGCAACAATGTGTGTTGCACGTTGTGCAGTGTAATAGTGCTTGGTTTGAACGGTTTGAACGGTTTGAACCCTGAATATGTGCAGGGTATGTACAAACAGTCCAGCAGCGACACCATGTGGCGAGAAGATGTAACTGCTATAGCTTTCAAACCTTAGACCTGGAAATATGTGCATTATTACCATAGACTGTATGATTATTACACCACATGTCAACAGTGTAAATTCAATAGCCTCCTAAAATTAATTTCATTCACGGTTTTAGGAATTCGAGTTGAATTTTGAATGCACTTTGTTTGGTTTAATGTTGCCTTGCTGCAAAAAAATAATTTCAATGGAATAATAAAGAGTTAACATTAGGCCTACAGTGTGCTATAAAAGTTGTGTTAATAGATATCCCATTTATTTAACCTAGATCTATTTATTGAAATACAGTTTTTCATTACAGTTTTATTTTGTGTGCTCATGTTAACATACACTAAATGTCTATCTTACCATATGTATTTGGTTTTAAATTAAATATACACCCATTTAATGTAAGCATAGCTAGTTGTATTTCTATTTGATGCTGTTAGCCTTACTTGTTTACCCGGACTTTTATTTTGTTTAGTAAGGTTCTATAAAGTTGTATCTATTTGTATGCCTACCTATATTATATGAACATTTTTCAAGATTTGTGGGACACATTTTAGTCAACAAGACAGTTTAAAATCAGTCATTTTATTTTACAAATGTGCAATTATTTAAACTACCAAAAAACAATTGACAGGCTATAAACCTGAGACTTTTGCTGTCCCTGCAGCTGTGTGTCTGAGGACAGTGGCCTGCTTTATCCAGTTGGTTATTCTTGTCATGTTTTGCAACCCATTAAGACAACTGAGGGGAATGAAACCCCAGCAGAAACTTTGAACTTCCTGATAGCTTCCTTCCTTCCCCCTGCTTTCATGTTAGAAAGATAGGATGAGTAAAGCTATATATATAATATCCCTTTTTTAGGGAGCCTGTTTTAAACCCTCCATAAATCACTTATATGTTTCCTTTGGTGTGTATTTTGAAAACCCAATTACATTTCTTTACAGTTTCTTTCTTGGAGGAAAATTATTTTACTTACTTAGATTATTTCAATTAGTTCTCATATATGAGCTGTTAGTAGTTCCAAAAAAAGTTTTAAAAAAACCAAATAAATATTTGTGGAGTAGTTGATTTTTCTTATATAAATAAGAAATATGAAAAGTAAGGAGTATCTGGAGATACTCCTTACTTTTCATATTTCTTATTTAATTGGGATACTTTTGCAGATTTTTGCAAAAAAGAACCTTTAAAAATATCAACAATATTCATTTATTTTTTTTAGTTAAAATTCCAAATACAGGACTACAACTGAATACTACTTCCAACACTGCCCACAAAAAGAAAAATATTATACAATTAAAAACTATTATTACTGTGATTAATAATATTATTATAATTATTATACAATTGCTGTTGCTGTTTTTGTTGTTGTTGTGTTTTTTTGTGATTTTTATTTAGCTGAATGAGTGAATTAAAAACTGTATTTACACTGAAAGCCAGTGCGCATGCTCGGACATGGCAGCTGCCAGTGGGAAGCTCCACAGAGCCCACAGTCAAATATATTTATCAAAATAAAACGTGAGTTAGCTGAGCTGACAGAGGTCGTGTTTCACTGTCCGAACCATGAAGGAGTAAAACCTCGGCAGTGGGAGAAATCTGATCTGGATGGAACCGACCCGTCTACGAGACGTTTTCAAATGTATAACACTATGTAAGCAAAGCCAAAAATATGTGTAATTTTAAAAGTGGTGTTTGTTGTCTGCCATGCAAGCAGAGTTGCTAGGACTTAGCTGCGCATAAAGTTAGCTAAACATGTACTATGACCAGTATTACATGCGTTTCGACTTACCTTCCGATGAATCAGGCCTGCAACGCCTACTTCTACGTAAGCTACCCAAACATCTGGATTTAGACACATCACATGGCTTTGTTGTCAACAGTAAAACATGCACAAGCAATGTTTTCTAATTGCTTTTGAGTCTGAATGGACAAGCAGGCTAATGCTAATTACAGAGTCTGGATTGTAGGATTAGGACATCGTTTTTTGCTAAATCTTTAACACTCCCAACAACCTGCTTCTTGTGTTTTAGCTATTGCAGCAATGGAGGATATTGGTTTCCATCCCAAAGCCACCAGTGATCCCCCTGTTCCCAGACCCACAGTCACTGAGGCTTTTGGGCTGCACCACATCCCAGCAGGTCTGTACGGGCTCAGAATATGAAGCAAAGCAGTGATTTGCATGTTTAATGTAGATGTTTATGTGTGTTCTGTTTCATCCAGACAGTCTGCACATCACTGATGCAAGCAGGAAATCTGACACGTATAAAGATGGTTCATCCAGAAAAAGGTCCCACTCAGTAATGATAGCAGAGCCACAGATCATCCCCCAGTTTCCTCTACAGAGTGTAGGCGCTGACACCAGTAAGTAACAGTGTGTTGAAGTTGTGTTTGCAGTGGATTTCTCGAGTCTGCAGATGTATAAGAAGGATGATTTAATCTTGTTTTAGGATACATTAAACTGTACACTGTAACCATGTGTAGTTGGAAGCACAATTGTGTATGCTAGTTTTTATATTCTATTGCTGTCTTGTATTTGTTTTTTTCTACACACATTTTCTACATCCACTTACACTCACAACCCACCTAAACTCATCCTAACTGATAACCTGTTTATATATGTATTATTTATACTGTTAACTGTGGAAAACAAAGTGTTTTTTGGGATGTGAACAGAGAGAAAGGGATCATCAAAACATTTGCATTACAATATTAGTCTGTAGATCTACATACAAAAAAATAAATAAAAATTGAAGTCTTGAATCCCAGTAGGTTTTTGCAGTTTTTAGCCAGAATTATGAATAACATTTGTTGTTGCGCAATATTTTGAGGGATAAACCACATATGATATTTCCAACCAATGTTGTGTTTTTTTTTATTTCTTCTGACTGATTTTAAATGCCATTTTCATAATGTCTTCCATTTTTGTAAAGCACTTTGAATTGCCTTGTGTTGAAAGGTGCTATATAAATAAACTTGCCTTGCCTTGCCTTGCCTTGCCTTGCCTTGCCTTCTTTCAATAAATATTATTTTTTGTATTTTATTTTCAGCGCTCCCGTCTGCTGCCAAAAATGGAAACACTTGTATGGATAAGTCAAAGGCCGGCAGGGAAAAACTCAACGCCAAATTTGCAGATCCATCCAAGTGGAGGCAAAACAAGCAGAAACAGCTGAGGATGGAGGGTAAATCATATGTGAGCAAACGCAAAAAAGACGGCGAGGAAGTAATAAAACAGCCAAGATCAATCGGACCGCGGTGCATCTCGAATGCATGCAAAAAGGCAACAAATCGTCTTTGTAATGAAATCAATGAGGAGGCCAGGAAGAAAATGTTTGATGATTTCTGGGAGCACATGAACTGGGCTCAGAGAAAACTGTATGTAGCAGAACAAGTGGACCGCGACCCTGTGGAGAGATCTCGGGCGGTGGGATTGCAGTCGCGAAGATCAGTCTCTCTGCGTTATCACTTGATGTTGGATGGGAAAAGGCAACAAGTGTGTAAAATCATGTTCCTGTCAACTCTGGGGATAGGAGAGTGGTCTGTGCTCAACTGGACACAGAAAGGAGAACAAACAAATAATGAATCAAATGAAGACAAATTACAAAAGAGCCAGACTGTCCCTCATTGCCCACAACACAACCCAGTTACTTCTGCAGTCAATAACTCTGCAGAAGGTTCCCAGGGTGAGTGTTTTCTCCTTTTTAGCTACTTACCGAAGATAGTTGTAGGTCTGAAACAAGTATTTAATGACTGAATACTCAACTGGCACAACATTGAGCAATCATATCAAGCAAAAATGCTTAACATGTGCTGGTTCTAGTTCCTCAAATGTTATAGGAACTAGATATAAAGCATTGTAACTCGATTGGGTGTATAGCTGTTGATTGGACAAAACAACCATGAAATGTCCCACTTTTAGATTTTCTATGATCTAAATGATTAATCATCAGTCAGAAAAATAATCAAGAGATTCATTGAGAATTAAAACACACTGCACAACTTAGTGCACTAATGTACAAATTTAAGTTTGTGCCATAAATAGTTTTTGTTCAGCATTGTAGTTTATCACAGTATAACCTCTTATATGTTAACACCATTTCTCTGTTTTTTGCAGAACAAGTGATTGCCACTGACAGAGACAGGCAGCCAGAACCAGAGGGGTCAGACGGAAATAAATCCAGAGTTGCCAAGCCGCTGACGTGGAAGCAGAATCGACAGAAGCAACTCAGGATGGAGGGCAAACCGTACATCAGCAAACGAAAGAAAGACGGCACCACCATAACTAAAGGTCAGAGGACAATGGGATCGGGATGCTCGTCCAGTGCCTGCAGAAGGGCATCCAACCGCTTCTGTGCTGACTTCAGTGAAGAAGGGAGGAACCAGCTGTTCACTAGTTTCTGGCAGTGTATGACGTGGGCTCAGAGAAAGGTCTACGTGTCCGGATTAGTCGACTGCGACCCGGTTGAAAGAACACGAGCACCGTGGACTCAGTCGAGAAGGTCTGTCTCGATGCGGTATCATTTGATAGCCGACGGCAACAGAAAACAAGTTTGCAAAAAGATGTTCCTCTCCACTTTGGGGATTGGAGAGTGGTCAGTGCTTAACTGGTCACAACATATATCCCAGCAGGACAATTCGGAGCAAATCACTAAGAAACAAACACAAGGGAAATCCCGTAAAGCGTCTGAGCATATAATCCTGAATGAGTTCCTCCAGAGTTTACCAAAGGTTCCCTCGTACTGTTGCGGGACGTCCGTCTCCAAACTGTATCTGGAGCCAGTCTTCTCCAACATGTCCGATGTGTACAGGCACTACTACAACCACTGCTCAGAGAGGAAGACCACAGCGCTCTCTCGCCAGGTGTTCTGTGCTGTATTTAAAAAGATGGATTTGAGGTTGTGTGAATCCAAAAGGGATCAGGGATGTTCTTTCGGTGCGACTGGGAATTTGTTTAATGAGCTCTGGGAGGAATACTGCTTGGAGAGAGGAGGGCCACAATCAGAGAAAGCGGGTAATCCAGTAGAGAAGGGTTCATGACCAAAATATATTATGTTGGAGTGACTTTAACATACACATATACACATTTTGGAAAGAACAATTCCAAGACTTTGCCTAAATGACTTCTCACATTTTATCAAATCATTATGAGCATAGACTGTGATAGATTCTATAATCAACACAGTCTCCATGCAGCTGAGCCGTCGTTTCACTGGAATTATCTAAGCACTACATTTATTAATTTTTTTTAATTGAGAATGCGTTGTTGTTCCCTAAAATGTGAGTTATTTTGTGAGATATATATTCTTCACCATTATAATTAGTTCAAGACTAAAACAAATGTGTGTCATAATGTGTTGGAAAAATACTAAAACATATATATCTGTTAATCTACTGTTTGGGATTTCAATATGTGTGATGTGAAAGGTCATCGTAATTTGCCTTAAAGTATTCGCAACACTGCAAACTTTACAAATTATTTGTTTTATTTATTTTATTCTGTGCTTAAGACAGACATTAAGAGACATTTAAGTTTTCTTTTCAACAGAAACAGTTTACATAGTTGTTTTAGGGGCAGAGCACTAAAAGTCTGTTTATTTTCCCGACTCAAGAGCTAGACTAAACCCACTCTTTCGTAAAGGTCAAATTCAAACCACTCCGTCGCCTCTCACCCTGTAGCTTTTACTCATTGAAATAGCGGCTCCTCTAACACCCCGTAGAGTGTGTGCTTTTTTTCAAGTTTAAACACAGTAAGAGCTACAAATCTCATGCATACACATACACGTACGGTCATCAACCTCCTATTCTTCTCCACACAGTGGCAGGAAGTTGTCCAGATATCCGCAGGGCCTCTGAAAAAAAGGCGAGTGAACAAAGTGGGCTGGGTGGTGGTGTTGGAAGGTGTCGGTGGTGGCGGCGGTGATGCAATGAGCAGCTTTACTCAGAGTTAACTGTTGGTTGTGAACAGCAGGACTGCAGCTACACCACAGAGCTACAGATTAACAACCAAAAAAGGGTCAGAGGGAGAAGATCAGAGGCAGGCTAATAAACAGCTGGACTGGACTACTGGCTCTCTTGAGCGGAGGAGAAAAGGCCCGCAGCTGGTGAACAACCTGAAGATGTTGGTCCTGAGGACATTTGTTCTGCTGGGACTGAGCTGGATATCTGAAGGTGAGTTAGCCACCCTATTCTCAACAGATTGTTATCTATCCTTTATAAATACTCCAAAGTGTCACCTGTTCAATCAAAGTTGTGCGATACCTTATCTTCTGGATGAAGTGTATAGGTAGACACAGGGGTTAAATTGGGCCGGAGCTGTCCGGGGCTCAGCCCCGGCACATAGGACGATGCTCTGACGTCATCACCCTCGCTCATTTGTCATTTGTTTAAGCCATATGTTAAAACATCTCTCGTTCTTAATATAGACTTTATTTAGGGTCGATATGTGTTGACTTTACTTTAAAATAGCAGATCTCTGTGACAGGATATAGTTTTGTTCCGCTTAGTGAACGTGTGTCTCTGCTCCGATCAGGAGCTGCAGCACCGCGGCTCCTTCGTGCAGAGAGTCTGCAGCGGTGTGTGTGTGTGTGTGTGTGTGTGTATTTTTGGTTTACTGTCCTATACTATACATTTAAATGATTTCAAACCTGTTTATCCAAATAATTATAAAGGAGTGCCTTGGAAATATTTGTTTACATAAATTGCATTTATCTCTCTCGCTCGATCCCACGCCCACTTTAGCTGTGAGCTGCGGACGCCTGATAAGCCAACACCCCCCACTTTCATCACTTACAGCGCCCGTCAGGGCAAATGAAAAGTGTAACCGGGGTGAAAAGGGTGTTACATTTACTTAATTATGAATGTTGTTACATCAAGGCCGAAAATTAGGATGAGCGCAAAAAGTCTAAAATGTTTTTTTCCCTCCCAGAGCTGCCAGCGCAGCGCCCCCCCAGATCTGGCGCCCTAGGCGACCGCCTATGTCGCCTATGCCAAAAACCGGCCCTGACTTAAGATAACAACTTATTTAATTTGTTATCACAATTACTAATGTCATGTTTTTTTTAGTCTTGAAGAGAATGTCTTTTTTTCTGGCATTCTTCCAGGATTAACAAAAATAAGAATAACATTGAGAAAAATCTTTGAAGTAAATGGCTGTTGTTAAACGGTTCCCACATTTACTTCAATCGTACAGTAGAAAAGATAAAAGTATCCAAGGAATACACAATAGAATATATAAAGAATAAATGAAAACATCTCTACAAAAGACCAATACACTACAAAAACAGAAACTTATTGACATATATACATCAAAAAGGCTTCAAATGTATTCAGTATTGTATGAACATGTTTTAATTGGGGTGTCGACGTCACATCCTCTAGGGGGGTCCGGGGGTATGCCCCCCGGGAAGAAATGTTTGAAAATTGAAAGTAAAATGCTTCAATCTGGTGCACTTTAAGCACACATTACTAGAGACTAGATCTAGGGGGTACAACTCTAAACACCCATATGAAAAAGATCGGTTTACATTTTAATAATCAAATAAGTATGTGAACATAACAAATAACCTACCATAGCCAATAACAAATAAATGTAACTTATTTAATTTGTGTTGTTCATTCATATCTTATTTTACCTAGTTAACATTTATTTATGCATATTTTTTTATCTCTCAAGTTTTAAACAATATTTTTGGTTTACTGTCCTATAGTGTACATTGAAATGATTTCAAACCTGTTTATCCAAATAATTATAAAGGAGTGCCTTGGAAATATTGTTGTTACATCAAGGCTGAAAATTAGGATGAGCACAAACAGTCAAAAATGTTTTTTTCCCTCCCAGAGCTGCCCGTGCAGCGCCCCCCCAAGATCTGGCGCCCTAGACGACCGCCTATGTCGCCTATGCCAAAAACCGGCCCTGACTTACGGCCCCTACACACGGCGGCGTGCGTTGAAGCTTGCCGGCGGGCATGTCTGACGCTCGACCAACAACCAATCACATGAATCTCCCGCCCCGGACACACAAGCAGCGGTTTGATTGGCTAGAGCTTGTACTGGCATATGATTCGATTGGCTGACGCTTCCGTCGAAGCTTCAAAAGTAGAACATTGCTCTACTTTTGAAGCGAGCAACGCGAGCAAAGCTACGCTTTGCTCCCACAATGCAGTTCGGCGAAGCGTGACGTCACCCCATTCCAAGTGAATGGGCAGAAGCGTTGAAGCTTCAACGCACGCCGCCGTGTGGACGGGCCGTTAACCTAACAACTTATTTAATTTGTTATCACAATTACTAATGTCATGTTTTTTTTAGTCTTGAAGAGAATGTCTTTTTTTCTGGCATTCTTCCAGGATTAACAAAAATAAGAATAACATTGAGAAAGATCTTTGAAGTAAATGGCTGTTGTTAAACGGTTCCCACATTTACTTCAATCGTACAGTAGAAAAGATAAAAGTATCCAAGGAATACACAATAGAATATATAAAGAATAAATGAAAAATCTCTACAAAAGACCAATACACTACAAAAACAGAAACTTATTGACATAGGTAATATACATCAAAAAGGCTTCAAATGTATTCAGTATTGTATGAACATGTTTTAATTGGGGTGTCAACGTCACATCCTCTAGGGCAGTTGTTCCCAACCTGGATCGCAGGGGGGGGGCGCCAGGCCTCAGATGATTTGATGGCATCAATGTGTGCATTTGATACAGATAATGGAGCAGTTGCTTTAGGGGCCACAGTGTATATCCCTTAAGGTCAAATAATGAGATCCTCAACCTCCGTCCCCCTCTCGCACCTCCACACAGAGCCCCCCCACATATCAAATCCCAACTTAACCCCTGGGTAGACATCTGATCACCAATGACTGATTTAGCAAAAATGACGTTGACTCTGAGAACTGCATTTAATTTATTTTATGGAGGATTTTTCAACTTAAATTAATGTCTTACAATAAAATATGAAGCCCTTTATTTGTTTAATACTGATGTAAACTTAAGTAATCATCTAGTTTTATCATTATTATTAGTTATTTGTTTTTTATTATTAATGTATAAAATGAATGAACCTTTCAAATTATTCTTATAGGTTGTTCAAAAGGACTAATTAAAACTTAATTTTATAATAACTTATTTTTCCATTCCTCCCATACCGGGAAAGCTCTCTTTGATTATCAAGTGGAACAGAAGTGTTAAACATTTTACATGTCTAATTTCAGCACTATTGTTTGTACTTTTTTATTGTTTGTATGATTTTCTGCTCCCGCACACACCTGCCAGCCCATTGTCCAACTCCATCACATTCCTCATTTCCACGGTAACGACCTTTAACCTTTATCAAGTCCCAGCCCACTCCATTTCCTGTTGCTATTCGCTTCTCCTTGAAACTTCCTGTTTATGTCGGGCCCATTTCCTGTTTCCTTTAACGGTCCGTATCAGGACCCACCTCTCATGGCTTGACCTGCATTGTTATGAATAGTGGCTAATGCTCTGAGACAATGAGCCTCTTATTGTGTGGGTCAGCTGGTCCTGCGATAAAACATTTAGTGATAACAGTTTGTGTCGTTAAATGAAACTGCAAGACCTCATGATATAATCTAAAAACATAATTGCCAAGTGTGCACATCTGTGATATTTGGAGTAATGTTGTTTGCCTTTGACATATCTACAAACTCTCTTGCATTTTAAATAGACATACATGTTTCATTCATTTACAAGACACTGAACAAAGCATAGTACATCTTGTTTATTTTTTAACCACAATTGAAAGATAAGAATGATCACAATTATAGTACAACATTGTTGACTATTGCTGCTAATCAGTGTTTGTGTCCACAGCTGCGTCTGGTGATCCGTGGGGTCAGTGTCCTGTCAACAGAAAGTGTAAAGACAAGTTTGGAGACGGGTCATGTGACAGAGAGTGTATGGAGCCCGAGTGTCTCAGAGACGGCTTCGACTGCCTGAAGGACCGGGGACACTGCAAGTAAAAAAAATGTGTTAGAAAACCATCAAAACCAGCTTTTTACAGGAAATGTTGTTAATTACAATATGTTTGCTTATTGTGCCAGCTGTGGCTGTCTTTTAAAATGATTATTTGTTGGTTTATGTGATGTATTTTTCATCTATTTTTTCGTCATTTGCATCATTATATGACATACAGTAAATGACATAAATAATGTTTAAGGAGGTTTTTTATTCGATGTGGACTCAACTCGATATTCCTTTCAATAGTAATAATTATTATCAATAGTAATATTGTCCTAATCAGTTCAAATCAGTTCACTTGTGAAAAGAAAAAATGAAATGGTTACACAATAAATCGGTTTTTCTATACAATTATTCAAAATACTGTAAAAAGTGTAAAAATGGCAACTTAAAAACTAACATTATTATAAGAAAGATGTTAAATCATTACTCCCTGTTCTGGATTTTTTATCTTGAGAATTAAATGTCATTCTTGACCTTAGAAATAGTTTAACAGCCAAATACCACATTTTATAGTCAACTTTTTTGTCAAATATCTTACTGTGTCTTTTTTTCTTAATTTCTTTATTCCTCCCCATCATTGTTCACAGTCCGGGCCATATCCAGTATTGCCGCGATCACTACGCCAACTCCCACTGCGAGCAGGGCTGTGACAGCGCCCCCTGTGGATGGGATGGCAGCGACTGCTTCAAACATCAGAGCTCTTTGTGGGCCAAGGGGACCCTGGTCCTTCACGCCAACTTCCCACAACAACGTGGGGTCTTCTCCAACAGCTCTCTGCTCTGGGCGCTCAGTGTCCTCCTCCAGTCGCCATTAACACTGAGAGGATCCGCCCCCCTCGCCGCTAACAGGAACTTGTTTGACTTCGACCCTAATCAGCTCTCCAACCTGCTGGCTCAGGCTCCTGCGGCTGACGCTGATGGGTAGGTACTAAATGAACTGTCAAAAATAATGAGTTTAGTCCTGTTTTATTAAACAAGTTAGCCCCCTTGGCCAAGACAGCGTAAAACAATACAAATTCAGGTGAAAAAAAAGACAAATAATACTTAAACAAGTTTACTATTTCATTAATAAAAGAAACAAATAAACCTAAAGACAAAATAAAAGTGGCCCAAGCACAGAACCTTGGGGAACTCCGTTAAGTACAGTAAGCCAATCTTGTATACATCTATACTGTGTGTATATATTTTGCAATAAATTATATGAGCATTATTTTTTATTATTTTTTATAATCAATTTTGGAAAGAGAGTGTATCGATTTCTTTAAAATAATTATTTCAATGTTAGTACAACTACCAGATTTAAAAAAAAAAATGTATTCAAGACAACACAAAAAACAAAGACTCAAGCTGTTGCAAAGTCATCAGTGCGCAAAACATCAGATAATAAAGCTTTAAAATTGTAATGGTTATATAATTTATCAACAAAATTACTCCGGCACTCAACAATTATGAACCTGCTGTTTCCTTTTTCTCTCACTCTTTCCTATAGCTCCCTTCTCTTCCTCCAAGTGGACAACAGGCCGTGCTCCCGGCTGCCCTCTACCTGTTTCCCCTATGCCACAGAGGCAGCCAGTTTCCTGCGTGCCGTACTGCTGCTAAAGCCGAGCTTGTTCCCCACCCTACCAGAGCTGAAAACCGTCATCAGTATAAGAGGTGTCCGAGAGGAAATAGGAAGCAGAGAGAAGGAAGTGGTTAAAGAGGAAGTCAAAGGTAGGCTCACAGGTCCTCCCCCCCCCCCACACACACACACACACACAAACCCATCAAGCTTTGAATGTCATCCAAACAAAACACTATAAACAACTCTCCGTTTCCAGTGCGTAATAGTGATGTGTGCTTTTTTTTTGGAAAATGTTGGATCACTGTGAGAATATGACTTCCTATCAGATGATATTTAGTACTTTAGTTAATCGGATCACAAACTGATATTTAAGTATTTAAGACTGTTAAAAATCTGAACTTTTGAAAGAACATCCATAACATTAATCTGTTTGCAACTTATATATATCAACATTCCAATTACTTGTATACTGTAGACTATTCTGCACCATTTCTATTATATTCTATTTTATTTTATTTACTTGCACTATTTTATCTGTTTTATTGTGTTATACTGTTGGAGGAGTCTGTGACCTAAGATGTTCATTGTCATAACTACACTGAAGCTATGTACAAATGACAATAAAAGCCTTGAATCTTGAAAAACGATTGAGTATCTTGATATATTTTTACATATTTTGCTGCTTTGTTTTCAATCCTTCCTCTCAAAGAGCCAACTCCTGCATGGCTGTGGGCTGTGATAGCTGTAGCGATTGGCCTGCTGCTGGTGCTGGCCCTGGCTGTGTTCCTGGTGGTGAGGAGGGTGAGGCAGCGGCGGGTGGAGAGGGTAGGCGGTGACAGGGTGAGACACCGGTCCACACTCACAGACAATGACCAAAAACCCAAGGCCTTGACCCCGCATGGAGCCCAGCAAGAGCAGAGGTCGAGATCCAGCAGAGAGAAAGAGAAGCTCGGCTTGAGGAAGAAGAAGAAAGCGAAGGAAGCTGAGAAAAAAAGAAGGAGGGAGCCGCTGGGGGAGGATGCCATTCGAATGCAGTGAGTTGCTTTGAAAAACATTAGAGGAAGTTTTGTCTGCTGGAGCGATGAGGTCATGTAGACGAATACAGTGAAGTCTGAAACAAGTAGGAGGTCATCCTGTGTTGAAAATGCTGAATACCACTTTTTCCTGCTAATCAGTTGGATATGACCTTTATCCTGTATTATTATTATTTAAAGGTCCCATGACATGGCCATTTCTACTGATCATATTTCCATTGTTGAGGTCTACTAGAATAGATTTACATTGTTTAATGTTCCAAAATCACATTGGTTTCTCATACAGCATCTCTGTATAGTATGTGTATTCACTCTCTGTCCTACACGCCTTGTTGGAGCTCCTACCCCCCCCCCCCCCCTCCCTATGAGCCCACTGTGCTCTGATTGGTCAGCTCGCCCACTCTGTTCTGATGAGTCCACCACCGTTACAGCGGAACATCAGTGATTATGTGTTACAATGGCGTTTGTTAGCAACCAGAAAATGACACCATTAATGACAATCAGATGAGAATCCTGCGTGGGGTCTGGGTGCCGTGTTGGCGGGACGTTGCGGGGCTCGCTGCTCCGCCCTCCGGACAGTGTGAGCTGGATTACTGGTGTCGTTTCCTGGTTGCTGCGTGGGTTCTGCGAGACAGCGAGATACCGCGGAACTCAGCCTGAGCACACACACACACACACTCACAGCCAGGCTGTGAGTGTGTGTGTAGAAACTACTCATTAACTTTTCCATCCCAATTTTCTGAAACAATTAGTCGATAAATTGATTATTAGTTTAAATAAAAAAACAGTTTTAATATTCAGGCAATCATTTAAGACTAAGCCGAACATTTTCTATTTTACATTCAGTATGCTTAACTCTCTTATATGTATAATTGTAAAGACATTTGCATCATTTGGTTTATGACTGCAGGTCCCACAAAACAAGCAATTTGAGGATTGGATGTCACCATATGGGCATTTTTTTATTAATTCATCAAAAATTTGAGCCAGAAGCCTGGTTGCAAGTTATAACCCCTTCTCTCTCTCTCCATTTCTTTCCTGTTTTTTTATACTGTTATTCTATCAAATAAGCGATGGCAATAATTGCAAAAAAAAATATTTACAAAGAAAGTACATTTTTGGGCCCCATTCTCTCAGGGTCATGAAACAATAACTAACTGTAATTCCTGTCATATTGCAGAGTCCATTTCCTCAAAACCTATCAATCAACACATGCATGTTTTAGGAAAACATACCCTGAAACGGCGAGACTGTATTGTATTTGGGTTTGTTTTCAGAGCTTATGGGCGACTCATAAATCAGAATAATAAGAAAAGAAAAGAAAACACAGTATTACTGTTGGCAGTTTTTTTATGTAATATATCAAAATTGTGCTTTTGCTTTCCAGACCTCTCAAAAGAGACCAGGATATAGGAAGTGACACAGATTTTACCCAGAGTTCAATGGAAGACATCAACACGAGATCTTCCAGGCGACAGGAGGACGCCTCCATCTGCGACCACAGGACCCAGGAGCAGAAACACTACCGGGGGGGAACATCGCAGCCCCGCAGACCTGTACAACGTAAGGTTTAACATCCATTTGTTTTAACATTAAGGCAGTCGCTCATTCCTACATTTATTAATCTGGTAATGTGACATGCACTTGTATTATTAGCAAGCATTACTATCCCAAACCACAATATACTAACATCAGTCTGGAATCTGTAAACATTTTTGGAATTTCTACTTTCAAATACCTTTTCATGCATTATTCTTTATTTGTTTTTTTCTTGCTTTTAAGTTACCTGTTGGTTTCTGTTGTATGAAAAGTGCTGTGTGAATAACACTTTTTAATGTATTGTTATTTGTTATCGGAAAAAGAGCTGCAGCAAATAGTAATAACAATGAATTGAGTAGAATGTAAATAATGAAATAATCATTATTTGCAGCCGTCTTACCAAATAATAATAATAATAATAACTTTAATGTATATAGCGCCTTTCATCAACCCAAGGTCGCTTAACAAAGAACATATAAGGACAAGACATAGGTGGCAGAAATGGAAGTGTTACATTGCAGGGGGGGGGAAGAGTGAGTTAATGTTGGAAGGCTTTGTTGAACAGATGAGTTTTCAGGGTTGATTTGAAGATGTTCAGAGAAGGGGCGTTACGTTAAAAATGATTAAACCTCACCATTTTGTCACCACATGCAACGCTGTAATTCAGTGTCAAACTCTGAATTACTTTGTTCAACAAATTATAATAAATAAATCCACAGGAGTTAACTAAGGAGTCAATGTAGACATTATATTTGCAACCACGTGGTGTAAAGCTTTGTAAGTCAAACAGAACTCATACTGACATTTGTTTCAATATCTTGAAGGTGGAGATCCACCCTTACTCACCATTTGTTCTCCTTCAGCTCCACCTAGAGGATGGGAGAGAGATGCCATCCCTCCTCCTCTGCTCAGTCCTCCTCAGCAGGTCCGTTCCTTGTTATTTACATTTTATTCTATTCATTTTATCAATGTTATGAGGAGTTAATGTTATTTAGCTTCAACTATTGGTGATGCACTTGTTTGTTCTCCTTTCCATGTCTTTATGTTAGTCCACACTGATAAATGTATGCATATGTGAAATGTGTATTATGTGTAGATCCATGATATATAATAACCATGGTTCTGTTGTTTTGGCAGTCTGCAGAGTGGTGTGGTCCGGACGGCTCAGTGGTTCTGATCCGAGCGGTGCGTAGCGGGCTGGACAGAGTCGTTTTGGAGCTGTTGAGAGCAGGAGTGCCAGTCAACAACACCGATCATACCGGTAAGACATCTGTGTCACAGATACTAATACTAGTTTACATGAACTCAAGACTAAACCTCTGTCAAACAGAATTTGCATGTCGTTTTTTGTACCTGATTTAACCTTATTGAAGTAGGAGCAATATAAAGCAGACATTGAACATTATTCTGTTTAAGTTACAGTAAACATCATTCATATCAAAAGGAAAGCAGGATTAAACAGAAATGAAGAATTATATGCAAATACAATTCTTTTTTTCATATCACTATAAGATCCAACCATGTTATGTCATCACAGTCAGTAGCAGAGATTGAATAGTTAAAAAGAAAGCCTTTTATAAATATGATTTAACTCAAAAACAAAACAACATTCTAAAAACAAAACTCAAAAAGTAAGTAATTAGATCTTCCTTGACCTTTATTTAATAATTTCATGGGGTCAATCAAACTATGATCAAAAAGCACTCACCATTACTACTACTATTACTACCAACCGTAATTGCAATATATAGACGCCGCTAGCTTGGCTAATAAACTGACCTGTCCACCTGCCATATAATGGATCCAGTGCATGAATGGGTTTATGTAGAGCTTCTGAGCAGCCACCTGTACACTGAGGGGCTGAGTAACTGATGTAACTTACCCCGTCTCTCTCACATCCTCTCTTTGTGTCCCTCCTCTCCCGTCCTGTGCTCATCTCTCCACGGCTTCCATCTCTTCCTTCTCCAGATCCCCTTATACCCTCTGACTCTGAACAAAGTTAACGTGCTCGAGTGCTCAAACTCGGGTTGATGGACGTAGTAACTTTGTTGCTGATCTTGCTTTTGCAGTCTTTTTGTTTCTCTGTCTCACTTTTTCTGTCTTTCTTCCCAGTCTCTGTCATCTATTGTTCACTTCAGCTAAGATAATTCCTTTCTACACCCCTCTATTCTGCCTCTCTTCACCATCTCGGGCTCGACTCTGTTGTGTAATGGTTGTTCATTGGCTGACTTACTCCCTCCCTTCTTCCCCCTGACTCCCCTCCGCTCACACTGTCTCTCTCAGGGAGATCAGCCCTGCACTGGGCATGCTCAGTGAACCACCTCTCCCTCACAAGGACCCTCATCCGCTACGGGTCCGCTGTGGACCTGCAAGACAACAAGGTGAGTTCTGAGTTTCTACTGTACACTTTACATTCTGTTTTATATCATTTATTTGAATTTTACATGTATACAATTTACAAATTCCTGCATTTTACTTGCAATCTTTTGACACTTGCACAATTTTTCTCCACAATTTATTTTCTTTCTTTCCTTTTATGTAAGAGGTAATTTTTGAAGGAACCTGGGTTTTAAAGGTCACCTATTATGCAAAATCCTCTTTTTCATGTATTTTCTACATCAACATGTGTCCCCTCTGTGTAAAGAGATTCTGAATGTTTCAGGAAACAAAATTCACTCCTGATCCATTTATATAAAAACCTGTCTGAAAATGAGCTGATCAGATTTTGGCCTCTTTATGATGTCATAACGATTTTTTGGCTTGTGTAACCATTAGCCAATCACCAACCAAGGTAACACCCCCCACCTTATCACCTGAATCTCCTCCTAGAGCACATTTTGTTCTTTTTAACCAAATATCTCTCAGAGGGGCGTGGGGAGTGGCTCCTTATTTTCATCTAGATTCTAAAGTAACAGACAGAGAATCAGCACTTTTGAAACAGGGCTGAAACAGAGGGGATTATGGGATGCTGCAATGATCTGTTTGGTATTTGGAGCCGAACACTTCAGAGACATGTTTGTATACATCTGAGACCTGTAATATATTGATGAAAAACTGTATAATAGGAGACCTTTAACATTAAAGCCTTTGAATCCTTTGAATCTTACATCTTTAGAAGCCTACATGCGGACTGTGATTGTTTGATTTATTTCCTCCAGACATGATAGAATTATGTTGTTTTTATTATTATATCTCATGTAGGGCGAGACAGCGCTCTTCCTCTCTGCCATCCATGGTTGCTATGATACGGCCAGACTCCTCCTCCTACACGGGGCCAACCTGGAGCTTCACGATCGGAGAGGGCGTCGCCCAATCGACGTGGCCAGAGAGGGCATCCATCACCAGATCCTGGAGCTCCTATTGGCTCACCAGATTCAGAGAGGGCCTGTTCCCGTGGACTCGGCCAATGAGATGCTGTGGGAGGAGCGCACTCTGATTTACTCGCCGTGGATCGGGTCACAGGGCATTCCTGGAAGAAGTGCCTCCTTCTCCGGGATCATAGGGCATCGAGATGTGACCCCACCGCCACAAAAGTAAGGTTTCAATCATAAAATGCTCAAGATGATGTGCCACCAAATAAGTCATTGAGAATTTTACGATTAGAGCTAAGTGAAAAGATAAATCAACTAGTCCATAAACAGAAAAATTTTATAATTATCAATGAACCCAAAATAAACTATTTTTTGTAAATTATTTGCAAATGTTAGTCAATTACTGTAAACATCACATAATACTTTGTATTCGCTGTTGGCATGAAATAAGTATTTTACACTTGTGTATGAAATAAGGGGTGTGGGCATCGAGTACTATAACAAAATAATTGACAAATCAGATATCACTTGATAATTACTTACTAAGATAAATAATTCTTATACAGAATTTACAGAGTTTTTTTGTAAATATTGTCCTAATGCAGTCCCTGTTCTGAAAATGCTTCAATGGTGGTGAATTCAAGACAACTTGGAGTACAAGTTTAAAATGTTTACCCTTTCTTCACGAGGACAGAAAATCTATATTTGACCAAACGTCTCTGTTACTGTTGGGCGTCGTAACATTGTGATGATTTTCTTGTCTTGCCAGTGATTGGTCGATGAGCCGGGTGCAGTACCCATCCCCTCAGAACTGGCGACCACAGCTCAACCAATCAGCAACAGCGTTGGTCCCTCCAAGAATCATGGGCCGCTCTCCTCGGCCAATCAGCACCTTACAAGAGGTGACCTCAGAAGACGAGGATCGTGATAGGAGCCAGGAAGTCCCCAGAGCTGCAACACCTCACTTCCTGTCGCCCCAGCCTGCGCCTCGGCAACGTTCCTTTTCCTGCACCCAGCATGCATTGCAGCGTCGCTCCAGTGGCCATCAGCCAGAGCCCAATTACATTATCGTGACAGACAGAACAGCCAATGAGCCCGTAGAAAGAGTTGTTGTTTCACCTCGCACAGATGCTGCCAACCAATCAGATCGCCCGCCAGTTGTAAACGGTGATATTCCCAGAAGAGCAGAGCAACCAGCGGCAAATTCAACAAATCCAGAGCATAAATCCAGAGGTGAGAGGTTAAACAACGCTTCTGACTCCACACAAACAGCCTTGTAGAAAACCCAGCTACACATTTCTGCCCATTAGAATAGCATTGAAGAACACGTGACGATAATGACAATGCAGCATTATGACAAAGAGGCACTGAGTTTTAGTTTGGTATTTTGAGTATTTTGAGCAAGAGTCCGCAATCTGCAGGGAGTCCAACCTTGATTTACTACTGTACTTTTGGGATTTTGTTATCCATTATGCATCTGTTGTCGTCTGACTGATTTGCTTGTTAGATTTCTTATTTTTTACATTTCTGTCAAACTAACACACAGCAGCACTTCTTTCTTAAATCACCACCCCAGTTTTCACTCAGCCTTGTCTAAATTATTATTATTATATTTTTTACTAGGGAGGAGGATTTTGTTTTTTGTAAATATTATGTTACATGAGATGTCAAATAAAAAACTGTTCTGAGATGAACACCAGTCAAACGTGATGAATATCACTGAAACTGCAACATCTTCTGAATCTTGTTGACAAATGTTGTAATATATACATATTGTCTTTACATCAAACAGGTTGTATTTTGATTATTGCAAAGAGAGTCAAAAATAAATAATTAAAAGAAACATGCGCTTGGTTGCACAAGAATGTGAGACCTGATGCATGCAATAAAGACTTTTCCATGCACATTTATATGGAACTTTTTTTTTCAGAATGTACCTAAATTAACTTTACTCATACACTTATTATCTAACCCTACCTAACCCTTACTCAGCATAAGTGTTTTCTCAGTTTGACTGCCATAATAAATGTATTTTTTGTCTTAATTTATACTTTCATACAAAATCTTAGGGTTACACATTACAAATACCATGCCCATTTAAGACTATACTTACGTTATTATGATGTTGTCTGCAAGTGTGGGGACATACAAATAATATACTCTATGACCTTTAAACATATTTCTTACACAAAAATAGTGATATTTTGGTACACAGGAAAACTTTTTAAAACTGTAATTAAACTCTTTTTTGGTTATACGTTTTTCTTTAAACATAAAAAAAAAACATTAAGAAGGTTAGGACACAATAGTTTGATAGAACATGGAACAAGAGACAAACTTGAGCTAAAAATAACTCAACAACAGCGACTTATATAGAGCTGTAATTGGAACAGACCTCACACTAAATGTTTTTAGATAAAGAGACGTCAAAGGTTTCATACTCTTTCTCGTGGGAAAAGAGGAAGTGGCGCTGCGTTTACAGCTTTATGACCTGTTAAAACTGATACATGTCTGCAGAGGGTCGCACACAGAGAGGAGACACTTCCCACGTTCCCACGCGCATTCGCAGACGTTTGAAATGCAAATTAGTTTGAGACCGTATGAAAAACTGCTTTACGCACGGTAAAATACCTCAATCTTTACCCACTCATTAGTAACTCTGGCCAGAACAGTGATTCTTATTCTAAATTAAATCTCTATTTAAACTGTCAAAACATTTTGATCAATACATTTCGTTTTTTTAAGCTATAGATATGACCTATGGCACGAGAATCTCACTTTTACGCAATACTTTCATTCCTTTTCCTTTAATGAAAAACATTTTTTTTTTTAATGTATGGTTTCAGTTTAAATGTAACTACAATTATAAGATATGCATACAGTTTTAAAATAAATATGAGTATCTAACATACTTCTAATTGAAGGCTTATTATCTTACATGTATGCATTTCATTTTTCTAATGTTTGACCACGTGTATGCATATCAAAGATCTTCAAAGGATTCAACTTGTTACATTGTGTGAAACGTCACTGCATGGCGCCTCTCATCCTCACGTATGGCAGCACCAGTCCACACTTATGCTTATGTTCCTCAGGGCACGCGCCAGCAACATCAATTAACACATAGCATTGTTCAATTATTTTTCCTTTCGTTTATTCGCAAATGACAAATAAATATAAATTAAGGTGCAAAAATACGTATCAATGTGACATAGTTAGCCTTTAAAGACTATAGCAGCACTTGGTGTGATCAAAATACATCAAAATACATTTACAGTATTTACATATTGCCAGACTTAACAGAATGTAGGATTTCGTGTTGGATATATTGCACTGAAGACTTCCTTGAAATCGAATTAACAACACATGTTCTTTTATAAATAATAACCGGCCTGTTAAGAGTCATTAAAAGTTCAGTTTTTGGAGTCACTGCTTCTGGATCAGGGCCAGGGCCTCCACAGGCCGGCTGTGATGCTCTGAGACGGGCTCTGTTTGCTCGCTGGACTCGCCACTTTGCGGGGCTGGTGGGGAGTTGTGGCAGAGCGATGTGATTCTCCGAGGGTCTGAACACAACTGAGCACAGAGGGGGCAGGTGTGCGCAGCTTGTGCCCGGACCTGTGTATCAGCATCCGTAGAATATACGTGGAGGAGTTCCTGAGAGAGCTGGACGAGGAGTAGACTCCGGTTCTTCTATGGACGCCTGCAGAATGAGAGTCTAAACTGGAAACGCGAGCAGCAAGAGATGCATCCAGTGCTGCTCCGAGCCACAGGCCTTGCCCATCAGGTCCGAGGAAACGAGACGCTCTCTGTAGGCAGGTGGAGAACCCGTCCTGGTAGGAGTGTTTCTGGGCTCCAGCAGCATCTCCAACTCTCGTGTTGTCTTCTTCAGCAGTTCTCTGCAGGAAGAGCACAGTGTGCTCGAGTATCTCAGCTTTCTCCACTCTGCGCTGAGAAGCTTCCTGGGAAAGACAACAAATAATTTGGTAAACAGTGTATCAGACACTTCTAAAATGCATTTAAACCCGAAAAATGAAAAAGTATTCCAGAGAGTTTGGGTTCCTTACCTGTTGCTGCAGTAAAAGTGTCTTCAGGCTCTCCAGACTGCGGTTCATTCTCTCTCTTCTACGTCTTTCAACCTGAGGTTTGAGATTCTGAGAAGAGGAAAACAGATACAATGATTAATGAATGAACGACAACTGCAGGCAAAATAGTTACAAATAAAGCTGGGAGATTCAAAATATTCTTTAAAAGCAAAAAAGATTAAAATACCTTTCTGTCGAACTTCGCGTCCTCTGATTCGTGAATCAATTTCATGATAGGTTATTCGAAGATCTTGTAACAGCAGTGGAATCGGTGTCGGTCAGAGCTCAATGTGCACATCGATGCCACAGCTCGAGCTTTTATTCCATAAAACATGTGGGCGTGTCTTTAGGCTCCACCCTCCATATGGTCACAGACTTTATTTCCCCCCAGGTTTTTACACCTTAACGAAGCCACTAAACTCTATTTAAAAAAGTCGTCAATGTTTGTAAAAAATATGTACCTTTTAAAATTGAAAGACTACTCATGTTGTGACCCTTTTTTTGCTGTAGTTTGTCTGCTTCAATTCAATTAAAAGTCATGAGCTGGAAGTATCAGTGGAAAAAGGTAAGCTATTATTGTTGAAACATAAAATAATAAGTTTGATGTTTTATGTATGTCTTACTTTCTCTATTATTTATTTTAATACATTTCGATAATTCTCTGAAGATGACTGCAGAATGAACAGCGCGCCTAAAGACCCTTCACTAATCTGCAGGCACGTGCAGCTGCCCCGCTGAGTGTCAGTGCCACGCGCCTGTGAAAGGTGTTGCCAGCTCGTGTGACACATTTTACATATATGTGAGAAAGCAACAAGCATCCGCCAGAACAGCGTGAAGCCCAGACAAACGACCGAGGGTGACTTCTCACGCCCTCATTATGGACGACCAAACGAGACATGTCCCCAGGTCTATACTGTCAGAAAAAAATCAAAGAATATCGGGAGAAATCTCAAACTTTTTTGATAAGGGCTCAGTAATGACTCACTAATAATTGAGGTTCTCATAAATTCTCTAAAATCTTCACCAGGGAAACTTTTATGTCGTGCGTAAAGTCCACTCGTTTATGCACTGCTTTTTTGACGGTTGCCTCATGGTTGTAAGTTACAACAGGTCAGAAATCGCAGTCCAGTGTTAAATACATCTTACTGTATTCAAAATATGTTTCTCAATATGCAACAACTCCAAAGTCGCCTGAAATTAGCGTTTACGTGTTGCGCGTAAAGGTACCTTTTACGCATGGCTCTGCCTCTGCACATATATGTGAAAAGATACGATTAAAACCAAATGGTACATTTCATGATCACATTCTGAGAAGCAGCTCGTGGGAACCCGAAAGCCACGTCTCCCCCAAGCACGCTTTGTTATGATGTATCGATTCTCACACGTAATAAAGTAAGAATACAGCACCGTGCCGAAGTTTCCCATGAGAGGGAGTTGAAGGAGCTATTCTCACAATTTACAATATTATTGAAAGTGTGTCGGTGTGGAGAGTCCACTGAGTTAACACAAAAATAATCAAGTCCTTGTGTCATCTGTTGTTGTATCATTTAAGCCTATATTATCTATGTTCAAATAGGGTACGTTACATTTTGTCTAATGAAAGTACTCAAGAGACAACACAAGCATGCGTCAAGACTGTTCTTTTACGCATGGCTATTATCAATTAGTTATGGATAACGACATCATTTTTTTACTCTTGTCAAATCCTTTAACGGTTATTTTCGGAACGTCCCCTGCTTGTGGGAAACTGAACGTCACCTCTCCTCCAAGCACACTCTGAAAATGAGGTATCGGTTTTAACAGGTAATAACATGCAGCCTCCTGCTCCACGTTCCCATGAGAAAGATTTTGGGGATATTCTCCCACGACGTGCCCAAGCTATTCTCACAATTTACACTATTATTGAAAGTGTGTCGGTGTGGAAAGTCAACTCAGTAATAACACAAGTCCACACAAAATAATCAAGTTATTGTGTCATCGGTGGATCATCTAACCAGAACTCTATTTGATATATTACAAATACGTTACATTTTGTCTAGTGTAAGTACTCAAGAGACAACACAAGCATGCGTAAAGACTGTTCTTTTACGCATGGCTATTATCAATTAGTTACGGATAACAACATCATTGTTTTACTCTTGTCAAATCCTTTAACGGTTATTTTCAGAACGTCCCCTGCATGCTTGTGGGAAACTGAACGTCACCTGGCTCTCATCCAAGCACACTCTGCAAAGAGGTATCGGGTTTAACAGGTAATAAAGTTAACATGCAGCCTCCTGCTCCACGTTCCCATGAGAAAGATTTTGGGGACAGTCTCCCACAGCCACACTTATCCAACATTTGTCTCTGAGTGTTGACTCGTGGACAAAAGGACATTCGTATTTATTATGATTTGGTTTGAAGCACACGCCCATTTGCCTCACTCTCCCAACAACAGAATAATGTTTGTTTTCACATTGCATTAGCAAGCAGTATTGAAGTAATGGCACCCCAATCCTTTATTTAAGAAAAAATACCACTAGAACAAGGTAAATATGCTCCATTACAGAATACCTGCATTCAAAACTATACTCAGAAATATCAGCAACATGTTCTCGTTCTGTGGTGGTGCATATTCTGACTCAGATCTTTAATAATAAGGCAATCATTTGAAAGCAACCTTTAAATGTTGAATTTGCTCGAAATGTAGCTGCTTTTGACTTCAGGTTCAGGCGGTTTTTAGGGTCATGAACCTCCTGGGTTATACACACTAAAATCTCAATTAGTATGTTACAGTAACTTTCAGTATGGAGTAAAAAGTAGGCTACAAATTAAGTGAATAATGCTATAATATCTTAATAGTGTAAAGTAAAATACATGCATATTCAAGTAGAGCGCCTCAAACCGTGTTTCTTTGTTATTTAATGAACTTTGAAATCCAATAAACCCTTTTGAAATGGAAAGCCGAGCAGCTAGTGACCACTTCACACTTATTCGAACACGCGCCAGCTGAAAAAAACGTTTAACAGTTCACTGAATTCATTAACACAGTTACAGGCTGCAACAACTTAAAAAAATATATGTTTGTACATTACAGGAACTTGACTAGTTTGTCCCATCAAGATAAAACTAAAAAGATAAATATAATCAAGAAATATATATTTTTCCTAAACTCAATATCAGAGGCTCCTGAGTCGTTATCAGCTATAATATTTATGGCACGTGCCTCCATTAAGAAAGACAGACAAAGATACATTTCGATGAAAACTTAAAAATGTCCCCAGCCGAATCTGTAATCCTAAATGTCAGAAATGAACCCAGCATAGGACTCTCCTGCTGCCTTTTATTGTAAACATTGAGTTAAAAAACGCAAATGTAGTGCCATAAATTGACTTTGCAAATGGAAAACAAAAGTAAACTTTGTTCACAAGAAACCACTACACCATGTTATTGTTACAGCAAGTAGAGATCAGCTGATAGAGGCATAAAACATTATAGTGGAACAACTACAAAATGAGTGCTATTCACTGTAACTGAAGGCAGAGGTTGGGTTAAAAACAGGTCCATTTATTGGTGTGAAAGAAGTAAAATGACGGGGCAATGTTACTGCGTAATTTGCATTTGAGTGACCAGCGTGCGCAATCGTGTGCCTGGGAACCTGAAAGCTCGCAGTCCTCCACACACTTATTTAATGATGTACTAATACTAACAGATAATAAAAGTGCTAATGGACAAGTCGCTTTCTGTTTCCCATGAGAAGGAGCTTGGAAAGTGTCTCCCACGCTCACTTACATCGAATCAGTGACACCCAGCAAGTAACATTTATCCATAAAAAAATATAATACAAACACAAATAAATAAAAGCACATTTTCAGTTGTTTTTTTAACTTCAAGAACCAATAAAACCTCCTTTATAATTTGGATTTCTGTCTACCTGTTCAGCTTAACCAAGTAAAACACCCTGGCACATTTATCTGCGTAACCGGACAATCCACCAATTTCTTTCTCGCTTGACGGTTTTCAAATAATGTTCAAATAATTGTATTTTTCAGATACAAATCGATCAGTATTCAGACAGCTATAACCAGACAAATGCCCCCTGAATGTGACGGAACTTCAAAGGGCTGATGGAGGTGTTAAGACACGTTTTGTTTCCTATGTGACACCAGACACGCGTAGGAAACAAACGTCCTGTGAGCAGCTGGGGACGAAGAAGGTGAGAAAATGAATGCTAATTACAATGAAAACAAACGCAGACGTGGGCTGAGGTGGGGTTGTCAGATAATTTAACTTCATCTGGTAAAGACTATGCTAACGAAGTTCACTTTTAGCTAAGACTGTAAAGTAGTCCTTGATGGAAACAGTGGAAAGCTGTGGAACTTAGAGAGACTCTGAACTGACATAACCAATGGCGTATAGTCATTTTATAAAAAATTGTATAACACTAACTGTAGGAGCAGAATTTAAGAATAAGTCAGAATTTCTTCAAGAACATTATATATTGAGGTTGCACAGAATGTGCCAATGTAGTTGGGGAGTTGTAGAGTGATGTGATGTTCTGTATACTAGTGGGATTTTCAATCATTTAACCTCATTCTAACCCTATAGATAATTATAATGTAAAAAAAGATAAAGAGTGCTTGCTGGAAAAGCAGCTAAAGTGCTCAATAAGTATGACAGAGACTCTGCAAATAGGCAATGTTTTTGTAAATAGAATAGAATAGAATAGAATTGGGAGGGATGAAACCCTCTATAATGGTCACACATGCAGAGCACACAGCACACAGTGAAATTTGGCCTCTGCATTTAACCCATCCTACCAGGAGTCTAGTACTAGGAGAAGTGGGCAGCTATTGTACAGCGCCCGGGGAGCAATGGGAGTGGGGGTGGGGGTGGGGGGGGGGGGGGGACTACAGGCACCACGGCAGGGCAGGAGGTGAACTGGGACCTCTCCAATAGCAGTCCACACTCCAAATAAGTAACAGATCCCTTTTTTAAGTTGCATTCTTTCATTTATTTATTTGTGGTGGTAAGCCTTTAGCAGTGACTGGCTATATTAGCTTCACACCTCCAGCTCCGACTAAAAGGAGCTGTCAATGTCAGCACAAACAATGGGCCTTCAGCTATAGCTTCGGGAAGAAAAAAAACAATCTGACACAATTTTTATATTTTAAGAAACGTTTTTTATTATAAAAGAAATACTGCTCACCATAGGGAGACATCCAGAATAAATTATTGTGCAAAATAGGCAAATCGTATATTTAAACAGAATATAAGTTATATTGTTGACATGTTTCATTTCAGCAGACTTCATGGCACACAGGTGAATGTGAGGGGTCGCATTGCCTGCGGTAAAGGATGGACACTTGATCGTTGTCCACAGTCTTAAATCTGGACAGTAGATGCATCAGAGGGTTTGAGCAGAGTATGAAGGACAGATGCATCATGATACTCACATCTGAACTTTCTCTTCAGCACAGCAGCCTCCTGATCTAGCTCAGGTGTGTCCCATTCTGAGAAAATCACTGTGCCTGCCTACTGACTACTCACATGCATTAATGAGTATGTTCATTATTTACAGGCTTTGAGCTTTGTGTTAAACATTAACATCACAATCAGATGACCAGAGGCCATGTTCACAACATTACAATGCAAATGTTCTTTCAGGAGCACTATAGTTCAGTTGATAGTCAATACAATTTTAGTTTCAGAGTCCACTTCCTGGTGGTCAGGGCCAGGGTCTCCACACACTCTGGCTGAGCGGGCTGCTCTGGGACGGGTTCTGTTTTCCAGCTCGACTCTCCACGCTGATCTCAAGATGATTTTGTCTCAGAGTCTGTTGGGGAAACCCCTGCTGGACTGGAAGTTGGTACGGATGAGCAACACTGTGGCCCTGTGTGTGCAGTCTGTGCTTGGACTTTTGTTTCAGCATCTGGAGAATGGTCTTTGTGTGCGGCAGAGAGCTGGAGGAACACGCTTCAGTTGTCCTTTTAACACCTGCAGAATCAGAGTCTGAGCGGGAAAAACGAGCAGCAAGAGATGCATCCAGTGCTGCTCCGAGCCACAGGCCTTTCCCCTCAGGTCCCAGGAACTGAGCAGCATTCTGCAGGCAGGTGGAGAAGCCGTCTTGGAAGGAGTGTTTCTGGGCTCCTGCTGAAGCTGCAGCAGATTTCGTCCTGTGTCTTTGGATGGTGTTCTGCAGGAAAAGCACTGAGTGCTCGAGTATCTCAGCTTTCTCTACTCTGCGCTGAGTCCCATCCTGCATGAAACAAATATATGAGTTAATATAGTTTATTGTCAGTATAAGGCCTGAATGCTACATAATGATGCAAAAAAAGTAACATACCTAAACAATTCTATCTTCAATAGTATGCGAATGTTTAAATGTGCCTGAATTTGATAAAAGATGCATATAGGCTACTCAGTTGACCAGTTACTTTTTCTTGTTTTATGAAGCAACATCATTAAATATCAAGAGATTTAAATCAGGCAGGTTGTTTAAGATCTCTATACATTGAATGATAAATACATCTTTGTAAAACTGAGCTATAGACAGAAACCATAGTATCTCTTTTCACAAAAGATACAAGTTCACTGAGAGGTTTTTGTGTGATTCCTTACGGGTTGTGGTGGGTCTTGGAGCAACATGGTCCTCAGATGTTCCAGACTGCTGTTCATCCTCTCCCTTCGGCGTTTCTCCATCTGAGATTTTATAATCTAAAAGAAGAAGAAAAAGATGTGGGGATTAATAAAATGTACAGTTGTGGGAGATTCAATTTCAAATAGTCTGATTTCAATGTTTCCTATGGTTTTCATAAAAACATGAATTGAGATGTATTTCTTACCTTTCTTTCTTGTGGTGCATCCCCCGCTTCCTGTAGCAGTTTCATTATAGCCGGTGGTCCTGTGAGCTCTTGTTATGTGTTGTCAGTTCTGCAACTGATCAGGCAATGTGGCGCGTGTCGTGTCTGACTGCTTTTTATCCTCCTCATCCCTCAGGCTCCTCCAGTAACACATTTTTACAACCCAACCCCTCCCGTCAGCTCTTCGACTTCACCCTTTTTATTGCCAGTAGGATAGCATTTGAATACATTGGACTTTTTCTTACATTTTAACTTTAGAAAAAAAATCCGAAAAAGGCTGTAGTGTTTGTAGCTGTTTTACTGTAATTTAAAAGCCTTACATAATATGTCCATAGATTGTTCTTGAAATATTACTAGCCTAATGCGAAGAGACCTGGATGCAGCTGCGCGTAAGAGAGAGCGTATAGACCATTTGTGTACCATTTGAGGTGCGAGTGACTGGATAAATTAGCACTTCTATCCATCGTTTCATCTGGTTTAATAATGTACTAAAAGCCGGGACATCTACGGACAAGGGTGCCATTTCTGATGGTAGGTTAAACAATGATAGTCTACATATTTTGTCTAAAGCATTAATTACACGTGGCTCACCAACATCACTTTTGAGGTGTTATGTTCCTGCTGAATAAGTCTGTCTTTATTTCTTTCTTCCTTATTGGTCCCTTACGAACTGCGCGCTCACTTACGGCGAGTGCCAACACCTTTCCATTCACACTTGACGCCTTTGCATTTGTTAGTCAGAATGCAGGGTGTCACAATCCATGGTTAACATAATGCATTCACACCTCGATGTCACAATAGACCACGCGTGCCATTTGGGCAGCCGTCTCGTGCTGGCGCAACTTTTAGCGCCACAGTTGTTCCACATTTGCTCGTGGAAACTCTTTGAAGATGACAATGCCACCGTGGGACAGATGAGAGAGGGTGACAACGCACACGTGGCACTTTTTGATCAAGTGGTGTGAGCCCGAGAGCCCTCAGGGGACCTTTGAAGATGTAGATTAATTAACAGCCTTGGTTGCATTATAGCTCCACACGCCACACTGCATAGGAATACACATTTATTTTCTCTTAACTCATTAATACTAAGATGTTGCTAATGTTTGATGCGCCTGTATTACTTTGTGCACAATTTAGTTTATGTGTTTTTTATCATATTTTCTTAGGTGTAGCTTTAGATCTTACCAGGGACAACAAATGTGTTTTTTTTAAGATCAACTCATTTACAGATCTTTTTGGTGTTGAATGCTACCCTTGTTTAATAAACGAATAAAAGGTACATTACGTTAGAAAAGCACCATATGAGCACAATATACACTGTTAAAATGAATGTGTATTTTGACTCAATCTGATCTGACAGTGCATGAGATTAAGCGATTATGCACTTGGTTGATATTGTACCTATCTGGTCCACAATAGTTTTAGGAAATTCAATTAATGTCTTAGTCTTTTGGGCAGTTACCCGCTTTACGGTGATGGTACAACCTTTAGGGCGATACACAATAACATGTTGTGCACAGTTTTCATTATGTCTACCTCATAAATATAAAGCAACTTTCAGAGAAATCTGTCCATGAGATCTGTGGATTATATAATCTATTCACCTCCATTGTATTGGGGAAAGAGAGGCGAACATTTAAAAAACTGGGCCAATCAAACCAAAACTGTTGGCCTTGCTAGATACAGTGTCTGTGAATCAACCAACCTTTTGTAGCTTGACGCTTTTTGACCTTGACTCCAAATAACTCTGGACCAATCACCATCTGGTTGTGAATACAGAGAGTCTTTATTGTAAAAGAGGTAGAGAGAATACAGGTGTTTCACTGTACAGAAAAAAGACAGCACTGCTGATATACCCATTCAAACAATTGACATGGAGTCACACACGCCTCACTCATTTTACAGGGACACATAAGCCCGGTAGAAAACAAACAAACAGAACAGAGAAACAAACACACAAAATCTTTGGATTTTTCTCTATTGTCTTCTCATTCACTAAATGCATTCTCTCTTTTTCTGAGCGGTTAAAATGATAATAGTTGTAGCATTAATAATAAAACGGCAATAATATTAATAATAACGATATAGAGTGATAAAAACAATGATACTGCTGTCCCCCCCCCGTTCCTTCCCAACCACAAACACACACCTCAGTAACATTTGACAAGTGGTGGAGAACAAACCCTTCACCCTGATAATAAAACCACACCTGCATGCACACAACACACACACACACGTTTGTCACTCTACCATCCGTGCACTCAGCTAATCAAACAGACATAATAATGACCAACGCTGAGTGGTAAGAAAATAATAAAATACAACGTACATTTAAAATAATCAAACCAAACAAACAATGTACAAAAACAACTGCAGCCAAGTGGGAAGTGTATGATCATTCTTTCGGTCTTTTCTGCCATCAATCTTCCGTCGCTGTCATTCTGTGCCAGTGGGCAGGGTCCTCAGTCAGAGTTGTCCGAGTGGTCGCTGTGGGGCGAGGCGCCGGCGGGGGGCGAGTTACGACCGTTCCAGTTCCCGTTAGCCTGGGAAATAGAAAGAAAAACAAAGAGACAAAGTGTCAGAGGACAACGTGGGCCTTATGTCTGCTTTGCACTTGCCATTGTGTCATTTTTTTAACACACCACATGTTATTTTTAGCACCTTAACCAACAAGGGTGCATAATTAGTGCATCTACTCTACATAATCACAAGATGCTTTGGATTAATTTCACATTTTCTGGGTAGCTTCTATCACAGTTTATGTGGGGGAATGAAGTGCAAAAGGCTTGAAATAAATGTAGGATAGAGTTAAATGTGTTTATTGTGCATTTTGTGGAAGGTGGAAGGAGAGTCTGTAAATGCACAAGGGGGTGAAAAGAAACGACAAAACAAAATGGGACTAATGGATACTGAAATGTATAAAGCCATAATATTAACACAATATTTGTGTGTTATTAACATGATTTTAGTGTTTGTTTTTTCAAATGTCATAGTTATCAATAAAAGTATATTGTTAGACCAATCACATTAATTGAAAGACCAAAACCAACATGTGTTTCTTCCCTCAGTGTGTGTGTGTGCGTGTGCGTGTGTGTGTCAGTATGAAGGAACACAGTGACGCTCAATTATGTGTTTTTGATAGCTTTTCGAATGAAGCTCTTTGACATAGAAGAATAATATATATCAATTTTGACTATAGATCAATTTATTGTCGTTTTTTATGTTTCATGGGATTTGTTGACGGAAATAAAATATCCCCAGCCTGATCATTTAAATATGTTTGGAACTACTGCATGAGTGGTATAAAGTACCTGCACTCCCATTGGGTAAGCGGCCTGATCGCCGTTCACAGGGGGAACTCCCAAAAACAGGTCAGCTGACCCAGACAGAGAGAAGGATCCAGATCCTAAAGACAGACAACAGAGCGTTAGAAACTGTTTCTGTGTTGTTGTTGTTGTTGTTGTTGTTGTAGCAGTTTAGGGAGGAACACTATGAATATGTGGTTATTGGTATAATCGATGTCTATATTGTGTGTTATATTGCCTTGAAATGAGAAGTCTCGGGGTATTAAAAAAGACCTAAAACTTGCAGAAATGTAGGATGAAATGCTCTTTATATGCTCTATATCAAGCCAACATGTTCAGCCTGTACAGCTTGAGCAGCTAGATGCTGTATCTTACTGCTCAAGCTGTCATATTATGATTCATACAAGCCAGTAGCCAAATAAACTGAGGCAGGGAAAGTGAGTCTAGCAGTCACAGAGCAGGTGAATTACTGAAAACACCCACTATGTGCTTGCTCAATGTCTGACAACCAGAAACCTTTCTGATTTCCTGAGCCTCAGGATATACATTGTGTTAAGGTTAGGCATATGATTGACACGTTCTGGTACAGGGACAAAGGGAGGCAGAGAGGCAAAATGCAGAAATGTTTTAAAGCCAGCAGCTGCAGAGTGTAGCTTTGGTTGATTTTTAGTACCTGTGGAGTTGGGAGTGTGCGGGGAGTCGTTGCCCTGCCGGACCACCAAGGCTGTTTTCATGGCATAAAGGTTCGCCTCCTCTTGGAACTTGCCAATGTTTTTCTTGTAGCGGATTCTTTTGTTGCCAAACCAGTTGGAGACCTGGCAGTAAATACAAACAATACAAAGGTCAGTTTACTCTTTCAATGAAATTGATAAATCCTGAGCAGTAAATTGTTAACACATAAAGCAAAATGTAATTGACGAATTACAAGAGAGGTGTCTTTAAGCTCGAGTATAGAAAACCTGACACTTTTTGTTTCACCATCACAGAAACTCAACTACAGACCGCTTTAGAAACATTGAATGTCAACCCTAGATGGATTCAAAACAATAAACAATAAACCCTCATCCTTTCTTTCTCCACCACCCTTTCTTGAGGCTCACTCCTTAATGTACAGTCAGGTTTACCTGAGAGACGGTGATTCCACACGATTTGGCAAGTTCCTCTTTGGCTTCTTCACTGGGGTAGGGGTTGGACAGGTGGGAGTAGAAATACTCGTTCAGACCCTCTGTGGCCTGTTTGCTGAAGTTGCGCCTCTTGCGCCTGATGAAACACAAACAGGCATATTATTTAATCGTTCAACCTTTATTTATACTCGAGAGAACTTTGAGGGCAACCCTCATTTACTGTGACATTAAATCAATTACTAAATACAAAGAAAAAAGTTAAAAAACTACGAGATATAAAGAGAAGAGGCCACACAATTATGATGACACTAAATATCCATTGACATTTCTTAGATTCTGTTAGTCTAAGCGGTTTTTTTCTTCAAATATTTGTATGAAAATAAAATAATTCTCATGTTAGGACACGTGTCTGATTATTACAAAAATAATAATAAGATACTCATTTGCCATTTGAGACCATAATAACTGGAGTATCCAAGCTGCCTAAAGTTAATGTTTTTCAAAAAGGGGAATGTGCAACCTTTTCAGATCCACATTGCAAGCCTTCAGGGTTGATTACATGAAGCTCAAAATAATTAATTGCAGTATTCCTTTAAAAAAAAGACAACAACTGGGTATTTGTAGATGCGTACAATTCGGAACTGTGTAGAAGGTTAATAGCAAAAATATATATTGGTTTACAGAACTCGAAATTGATAGATACATCCTACCTACACCAAGGAAAAGTGGGAGCGAGAAGCACATTTTACTATTACGACAGAAGAATGGGGACAAATATGTAAACAACTATGGAAGACAACCAATTCCCAGACCTGGAGGGAGTTTGAATGGAAGAACACGGTCAGGTTCTTCATCACGCCTGCTCAAAGGAAGTATAGGGAAACTGGGGCGGCCTGCTGGAGGATATGCGGTAATGTTAATGCCAACCACTTTCTCCTGTTCTGGGAATGTCCATCCATAATCCTTCTTTGGACTCAGGTCCACAATTATATGGGAAAAATACTTCATGCAAAAGTACTATTGAAATTTGAAGTGATGTCCCTGGGGAAAGTAGACTTTGATATCATGGATAATGACAATAAGTACATGTTTAACATTTTAAGGGTGGCAACCAAAACATCTATAACGAGGAAGTGGATGAGCCAAGAGGTTCCGACCGAGAGAGAGTGGATGGACGTGATTCATGAGATATATGTAATGGAAAAGTTGACATATGCACTGAGGCTACAGAGTGAAAAGTTTGAGAAGAGGTGGAAGGAATGGCGGGATTTGGTGAGGCCCACAAGGCCAGATTTTGTTTAGCTTAAAATAGGAAGATTGCTGAATGACTGTTAAAGAGCTCTTGCCTGCGAACAAGAGATAAGTAGCCCTGATGTGATGTCGTTTGTGTTCTTATTTGTCTATGCATAAATCTGTTTGTTTTTCTGCGAGTGTTGTTCCTATATTTGTTAACCTGTAAAGAAAGGAAAAAAGATAATAAAAAAAACTACACACGCCTACCTGGCATCAAGGAAGCGGGACCTCAGGATCATGACAGCCTCACAGGTGCTCTGCTTCAGCTGGGTCTGGATGGTGCTGAACTTGCGGTGGATGATGCCCACCATGCGCTCAATCTCTCGCGGAGTCACGGGCCGCGTACGGGACTGCTCTCTCAGCAGGTTCATCACATGGGTGGTGAACTCTGTGCAAGCCTAGGTTTGGGGTGCATTAGACAAACAGTGAAGGGCGGAAATTCTCAAAGCAATGCACTGAGGTGTATTATTTCATGTGAGTTCAATATGAGTGATCAAATGTGCAACATGGCCTTGCTTGTAGGCAAGCATGTATAAACATGTACAGTAATGGCATAATTACTAAAGATCCCAGCATAACCGTTTCCTGGTAAATTGAATGACTCGTAAGGCAACTCTTTACAACTTTACTGTAGAGGGGTTGTTATTTGACATTTAAACAATTTATAGAAGGTTTATATTTGTGTTGAAAGAGTTATGTACTGTATGTTGGTGATGAGTAGCCTTATAATAGTGGATTTCACAACACATCTAAACAGTGTTTTGAAAGAAAAAACGATGGGCTTTGGTCAAGGTTGGAATATGTTTTCTGCTAATAAAATAAAAGCCTCCTTTCATACAGAAATGTCAATTATAGCTGGTGTGTTTTGATCAGCAACATAAGGAGATAAGTGTATTACCCGGCAAATGAAATGCAACTGACTGAACTCTAGACCTAACATGCCAATGAATTACGCTTCTGGCGAGCAGCATTAGTGCAGGTATGCGTGTGTGGGCAATGTGAGTGATCGTCTCCTGTTTCTACACGGTACCTGCTCATACTTCTCCAGCTCCGTGTGGTAGATACCGCGAATCTGGGTCAACTTGATTTTGTAGTCCGAGTGCTCGAGCGAGCTGTCAGGTGACATCCCTCCTGAGCTTGTGGCCGCAGACACAGCAGCGGCAGCTCCTCCTCCCTTTTCCGGCCCTGCGACACCTTCTGCCAACAGCATGTTGTCCAATCGCACCAGCTGAGGATCCTGAGACTCGTCCTCCTGGGCATTCCTCATGGACAGGCCTGTCAATAAGACAAATGTCAGTTGGCTTCATAAGATGAAATATCAACAGAGGACTGTGTCAACTTGTGATACAGTTTTGCACAGTCTAGCCTGTGCAACTCATGCATTTTACATTTGGAACTTGTAGGTCAGAGTTGATTTATTAAAGTGTGTATGGTAGATTTTCTTTTATGTATGCCTTTGAAAAACTGCTTGTTTGGAGAAAAAAATATATAGATGTAATCAAATAAGCTGTTGTAGCATACATAATAATATCTAGCAGCACTTCTACCACCCCATTATTGCACTGTAAAAGAAAATCAACCAGCAACATAATTGTATAGCCCTGTAGGCATTGTGTGTTTCTTTGTCCAACTGCTGTAGATCGTCTCTATTTTTACACCATATAGGATTTTACATAATAGCTGTATTATTACATTTATCTGGCTCTAGGTTTGTTTTTGTTATTGCAAGTAGACATATTGAGCTACTGACAACCTGCGTGAAATCCCTTTTGTCTGTGTGTATGGTTTACTATGATTTTATTGGCTTCTGGTGACACACTGTCAACACAGTCTAATAACGCTGCAACGAGGCATAAGCTCCTGTATAGCAAAACTCAGTAAGGCGGTAATTTGTAATGAAATGCAATATGACTGACAACAACAAAACTCTTTTTAGGCAAATAACGTTACCTGTTTTTTCCTTGATCTCGCAAAGGACGCTGAATAAAGCAGGTTTCATTCTGTGACAATTAAGTGCATGTTTCCTGTGCAGAAAGAAAAGAGCGTCACTTATAGCTAACAGGCTAAATGCAAGCAGAAGTATGGTGACAATATGCAAATTGACCAAAACAAAAACACAACATAATACCCACTAGGTTAGCTTCACCGTGGCTAATTTAGCAAACGTTAGCTTCTCACAAGCTAAGAGCTAAGGAGGCAAATGTTCACCGGCAATGTCTGTATACGACAACCAGTAAGTTTGGTCATCTTATAATTTTGTTTCACGTAGTAGGTCTTTACATATGAAAGAATTGACTGTTTAAACATTTGCATCAGCGCTACCTGAAAGCTACCTACTGTAGCTTCAGCTAGTTAGCCTAGCAAGCTAACAAAAGCTAACCGTACGCTTGAGACCATCCCTGCTAAATATAGCTTTTGTAAATGGCAGCAACTATTAACATTTCTGTCTTATATAATAATATATCAGAACAGGTTTTAACAAAATAAAGTTTATTCTAGTTAGCTAACGTTTGCTTCTTAGTTAGCTACTGGCTAAATGATCTAAACAATGCATTGAAGTTCAGTAAACTTTGTCACTGTTAGTCGGCAAAACAAAAACAAAAAGACGGCTGCAGTATCGACACACTTTTACATAGATACAAAAAACTAGTTTTCACTAACTTTGCTTGCGCTTCGTCCAAACTTTGGTCGGTGATGGTCATAATTTGTTGCAGTATGTCACCAATATCTCTGCGGTTTTCATGTCCGTTTTCTGTGCCCTCGAGGGCCGGGTCATCGGACCGGTGCTGTGAAGGTTGCTGAACCGAGTTGAGCACATGCATTCCGGGGTGGCCACTCAAGCCGAGTCCCCGGCCGCTGGAGGGCCCGTTGCCCGTCAGAGGCTGCTGCTGCAACATCTTCAGCGACGCACAGTGGCGACGACTGCTGCCCGACTGTGCTCACAGACACACAACACTGCCTGATCCGAGGCATCGTGCAAAGCAGGGTCCCCTAGCGAGAGACAGGAAAAGGTACAAGCCATGTCTACACAGTGCACCGCATGTGGTAGGCAGTGAACCTGCTGAGTTAAAATGAACTGCAACAACAAAACATATGCACTCAAAGAAATAAGTATGCGTATCTGGGAATAACATAAATTAGTTGATCTTTAAAAAATGTAGATATTGGGCTCCAGTGTCATCCTATGCACTTATCAACAGAGACATTCAATGATTTTGTATTTGTCTGGTTTGACGTGATCACTTAGAAAAACATTCTCTCACTTGCCCGAGTCTACTTCTCGTTCTAGTTGCACGTCAACAGGATGTGAGCCAAAACCACATCAGTGTCAGAAGAGTTGCGCGCCTGTCTCAACATGTTGCAGTTAACTCGCTCATAATCAAATGAGAAGCACTCAAAGCGGCAGCTGCTGACAGCTTAAAGTTTCTCTCAAATGTTGATAATAACCTTTGTTTGGACCATACCTAGCCTCATCAAATGCATGACCTGGGTTCCTCCTGCGTTTGACACCTTTATTTCACAATAGCATGGCGTGTCAGATACGGGCCGAGTAAATAAGGGTGGGCTGTGGTAAGAGGAACAGGAAGAGAGGAGACGAGAGAGAAGGTAGCGCGGCAGACAGAAAGGGTGAGAGCTTGTCACTTCGACATGCGAAACTCTTCTAAGCAAGTTTATTTTCTTGTTTAAAGTTATTAACGAGGCAGAATCAAGCCAAACATGCTGTGGTCCGTCTCTGGGGACTTCAGGAGATGATGCTTTGAAGAGAAAAGTTTAAAATACAAAGGTAAGAATGAATTTACTGAATTTATTTGCCGAAAGGCTACTTTTCAGACAAAACAACAAGAATTACCTTTGGCAACATTTCAAACAGAAATGAATCGACAACAAGAAGTTTTGATTTCATGTAATCATGTTATCAGGCTAAATCACACAGGAATATACTTATTGGATTTTCGGCTTAAACATCTGTAGTCAACATGCTACAACTTGCCAAACTGGTTCCTCATACATTTCTGTGCAAGGAAAAGACACAGCTTCAGTTTTCATTTCTCTATTCCAAGTATTTTAACAGGTTTGGTTGCAGTATTAACAATGGGGTCCTCAAAGTCTTTAACCTAACCCCTGTTTATGTGTATCTTCTTGTCAAGGGTTGACAGTGAGATTAATAGACTGCACAAACATCCAAAGTTGAAATGGCTGAAGAGGGGCTGCTGGAACGTCTTGTCATCACCGAAGAGGAAGACATGACTGAAAGTGTTGTTGACAAAGGGGCAGCGAGTAGTTCTGCTGTCATCCTTCAGAGCCGCAGCGGAGAGTCGATTCTGAAAGAGGAAGAGGAACACAACGAAGCTGGCAATAACGAAAAAAAGACAGCAAGTAAAATGTGTTTGGAACAGCAGATCCCCGAAAAACAACAAACCAACAGAGAGGAAGACCAGACTGGAGGGGTTGTTGTGACTAAAGAGGGAAAACCAAATAACATGAATGATGGACAAAACAGGGGTGAGATTGAGAGTGAAGGGCAGACACATGTGGTGATGAGGAGTTATAAAATACCGGAGAAACCAAGTGACAAAGAGCATGAAAAGGTCACACAGAATGACCCTCAAGTGGACGTAAACAGGTTAAATTCTTCTGTAAAACAACGTGAAGGGACACAAAACCAAGAGGAGGATCCAACAAAGGTTTTTATGTTTTTATTATTTTACTTTGACTTCATTATAGGCCCTGAGATTACCTTTATAGTAATTGTAAGCATGTATTTGTTTATCACGTTCTTGACATTTAGAGAAAAACCCATGGTGGAAACAGCATGTGTCATTTTGTTACAGAGCATGTGGGAGTACGTAGGAGTTGAAGGATTACATTTGCTTTGCCAACAAACAGTTTGTGATGCTAACTGAGAAACCCTTACTCCCTCCTTCTTGCTTTCTCTTCTTCCTACCTGTGTTTTCTCAGGCTCACAGGTTAACCCCCGACTTCCCAGAGGCACTGTACGAGCTGCTCTTTACCCTTCAGGAGGGGAGACGCCTCAATGACCAGCGCTGCTCCTTCAGGCTGGAGACTGGGATGAGGAGGAGGTGCCACTCTGAGCCCAACGCCAACAGGCCAGCACACAGAGGTGGGAGTGTGCTTTGAAAAGCCCTATTTTGCTTTACAGTGTTACAGTGATAAGATGGGTGCAGCCATTGCATTGTTTCAAATGCTGACTCCTGTTGTTTGAGATAAAACAACATGAAACTACATACGTATACTCACCCTCATGTTTCTATGTCTCTCTTGACAACTTAATGTTTTCCACCATCTGACCATCAAAGCTTTTCTCTCACTTTTATCCACAGTTGTGTTTTCCTCCATGACTTCACTTCAGAAAGAGGAGTTTTTTGATCTGGTGGCCACCGCTCAAGCTCGCCGGCTCGATGACCAGAGGGCCCAGCTCGAAAAGTCTCAGCCACCAAAATCAAAAGGCAGAAGTTTCAGGGGCAGCATTAGGCAACTCTCTTTTGCAAGAAGGCCAGCGCCTGCACCAGTGCCTGTGCCCGTGCCCAAAGAGGATCTCTATAATATGATTCTCTCGACACAAGTGAGTAATTTGTAAATAGTTTGATTCAATGCTTTTATCATGATTTGAAAATATTTAAACATTAGTTCTGGCATTTATTTTCCTACTTATTTTCCAACCTCAGGCCCAGGGCAGGCTGGAGGATCAGCGCAGCAGAGCTCCCGGTCCAATGGATGATGAGGATTTTTTCTCCCTGCTGCTGAGGGTCCAGGGGGGACGCATGGACGAGCAGAGGACTGAACTACCTGGCCTGCTACAAACCTGAGACCGAAAAAACTGTAGGGCTGTAGTGCAGCCGCACAGTGTTGTCGCTTTTTTTGTCTGATTTCTGTTAAAACAAGTATTTTTTGTCGACCCCGATGATGCTTTGTATGCCCCTTGAAATTGTTGTTCAGTGTTAAAGCTGTTGAGAAAGTAGCAAGGAACGCTAATGTTTGAGCAACAGAGCTTTTAACGTAACTTGAGGGATGTTATGATAAGATTGTTAAGTTTACTGCTTGTTAGCTATTGCTTTCTTTCCTGGTAAAAAGGACCAGAAGAGATTCCTTCTTATCTTGCCAACATTTTTATTTTATTGAGTGTCTGCGATGAGTGGTTGGAGGACTTTGTGTGTGTTGCTGTTCTTAATGTGGAGGAGGCACTCGACTGATCTCAATTGTTTTTCCCTATTTGTACAGTTGGCATTAAACACACCATGGACAGTGTTGAGGAGATAGCTTCAAGGCTAAACTGTGCTTGACTGTATATGGATGATTGTGCTCCAGGAAATAAACAGAATGTCTAGCAGAGTCATTTGCATTTATCCATTTATTACATTTGTCTAAAATGTTGTCAGGAGAAAAGGAGATTTAACACACTCTAATGCTATCATTATTTCACATATAAAACACACAGTAATTGCCTGTAAGCCTGTATTTGCAGGCATTTAAGCAGTGCCACGAACAAGGATGTGAAAAAACATGTTCAATAATTTCCTCGTTATTCATTCCCTTGCTATGTCACATTCCCACAAACTTGTGATATGGTCTAATCTTTTTTAAACATCCTGTAGGGCGTAAATCAAACATTCACATAGAAAAAAAACAGGTAGCTATTATAGAACAAATGAGGAAGAGATAAGGGTGTTAATATCTCACAGAATGGATTAACTGAAAGCAGGTGTTATCTCGAAGTTCCTTAATGTTGTCATTTTTATTGAAGATCTAAAGACAAAAATGAGATATACACATTTAATAGGTTTATTTTCATGAATATTAACTTGTAAAACTTGTCTGATATGACTTCAATACTACACGTAATAATCCAATGCCACACTGTGTCAGCAGCCAGAAGTGGTCTACTTTGACCTTCTCTAATTTGGGTTTCGTCCACTCAGCTTAGAGCGAAATGTTTCTGAGGAAGTCCTGATCGCTCTGCACCAGTGACGGTAGCGGTGACAGCAGAATGCTCTGTCACTTCCTCAAATTGAACACACATATAGAGATGTTATAGCAACACTGATCAACACTGATACTTGAAATCCACATTGAAAGGTGTAACCCTATTCAAGTTACATGACATTGCATTTAGCTGACGCTTTTATCCAAAGCGACTTACAATAAGTGCATTCGACCAAGAAGATACAAACTTGAAGAGGACAGAATCATATAAGTACATCAGGTTTCATAGAGCCAAAACATTTCAAGTGCTACTCAACTAGCTTTAGATAAGCCAGTCCTTTATTAGTATATAAGTGCTTTGTTAGTAATTTTATTGCTCGAAGTGGAGTCGAAAGAGATGAGTTTTTAGTCTGCGCCGGAAGATGTGTAAGCTTTCTGCTGTCCTGATGTCAATGGGGAGCTCATTCCACCATTTTGGAGCCAGGATAGCAAACCGACGTGTTTTTGCTGATGGGAACTTGGGTCCCCCTCGCAGTGCGGGTGCAGCGAGCCGTTTGCCTGATGCAGAGCGGAGTGCACGTGCTGGGGTGTATGGTTTAACCATGTCCTGGATGTAGGAAGGGCCAGATCCCATTCACTTGATCCACTTGAATTTCTTATGTAAGGTCAAAGGTCAGAATGTATGTCTTAATAAAACTCAAGCAACCTGCTTTTATGAGCCTGTGCTCCAGACATCAAGTCAAATAAAGTGGAAAAAGGAGGAGAACAATTAAAATGCCACCTAACAAAAAAATAACCACACACAATTGTGAAAGAGTCAAACAGGAAGAAACTAACTACATTCACGGTCAAATTTTAAAATGGAGTAGGATTGGTCAATACACTACAATTTTTCTTGTGAGGCCTTTGCCAGATCAGCATGTGTTTTTTTTCATTTTAGATGGTTGATTGAGAGCTCCTTTTAGTGTGGTGATGGGGTATTTCACTCAAACAGATTTCGAAGTGTTTAGGTCTATAAAACCTCAGATACATCTAACTTTAGCGTGGAGGTTTACTGTCTATGCATACAGAGTTTCCTAGGCTTATCCACAATGCAGAGACATATAAAGGGATTAAAGACAGTAAATGTCTCTTTAACTGGGAATGATAATGGTTACAGTTCTCAAATATTTTTAAGTACCATGCTCTTTTAGATTAAATAAAATAAAATCAACTTTAAAATTCAAGTTGGCTAAAAAGTTTTATGAGAAAGTAAATAAAATCTTAAAAAGTTAATAAAAAAACATAATGTCTTAATATTACTCGGCATTCAAGGGTTGTACTTTCTTTCTTTATTTTTCTTTTTGTGTTTATTTGCTAAATAATTTAGCTATGACCACTTTTTCTACTCAGCCCCGCCCATTTAGTGACGTCACCGAGCACTTCACTGAAACCAAGGACGTTTATAGATTTAAAGGCTTGGACAAGGAAGTGACTAGCATTTCAATCTAAAATAAATAATGTTTTTTTGTCAATCGTAGTTTCGTAAACTTGATTCTCTTAAGAGTTAACACTTCTTAGTTGATGTGTCTTGTGTGTAGTTCAAGAAGCCTGTCGGTTTAATGACGTCACTGTCTCATCCCATTTTTTCTTTTTTTGCCTAAACAAGGATGTGGACAAAAATGAAACCTGCTCAGAAATGTGGAACTACAGTAGCTACAAGTTTGTGCAAAAAACACGATAGTAACACATTGAGGACATGCATGAGGACAAAGACGCTCAGCTAAAGGTGAGTAGAAGTGGTTAAATTAAACTTTATTTTCCTACCGTGTTTAGTACCAAGCTCAAAGACTGCGACTTGCTCTGATTTACGTTATACTCCCCCTTCAGATTTTAAACTCAGTATGATATTTATTAATAAGTTACTAAGGTCACTAAGGTCTGTCATAGGAGGAGTAATATACTTTTCACTCCACTACATGTATTTGATATATGTATTTACTTTGATGCTTCACGTTATTGATACTAAATACAGTCAACAAATAAACGCAGTATTATTAGAGAATATGCTTTTATGTAGTATTTCAAATAGATAGCCCCCCCTTTCACCAGCTAATATGCTGAAATGGTGCATTCCTTAAGTATCCAACTGGTGAACTTAAAGTAGCATTAAAGTGCTTCAATTATATTTGTACTTGTATCTATCGCATGACGTAGTCTTGTTAGATGTGCCAAGAGCAAGGACTGTCTTAGGTAAGACAGCTTTTATGTGCGCAGCTCCACTTGCTTGGAACAATCTTCAGCAAGAATTGAAACTGAGCAATTTCATTCCTCTGCATGTTTTTAAAGCTAGTCTAAGTGAAATGCTCTTTGAAACTATGGCTACTTGTAAATGTCGATAAGTATGTAAATGTAGCCTGTAAATATGTTGTATGATGTCCTTTATTGTTTTATGTTGTTTTATGTTTCATATGGAACCTAATTGCTGCAGGTCTCCCTTGAAAAAGAGATCTATGATCTAGGGCTGTGCAATTAATCGTTTTTTAATCGCAATTACGATTTTGGCCTCCCACAATTACAAAAACAACATAATCGAAAAAAACGATTATTTTGCTTTGCTAGGTTGTGACAGTGCACTGCAACATATTTGATCTAATTTATTTTATAGTCTAATTTATTTATCATATTTATATATGTTTAGTAGCTTGTTGAAGTGCGCTCCAAATTATATATATATTTTTTTATTGGTATTTATTATTTTGATATTATTTATTTAAATGTGAATATACATCATTTATCATTTATTTTATTTATTGGTTTTTCAGTTGAATTATACGTTCAGGGTAATCAACAGTTAAACAGATACTGTTCAAATTATTATTTTAATTTGTTTTAAAGTTCAATAAATGGATGTTTTCAAAGTCAATGAATAATCGTATTTAATAATCGTGATATCAATTATTGACCAAAATAATCGTGATTATGATTTTTGCCATAATCGCACAGCCCTACTATGATCTCAATGGGACCAATCTGGTTAAATAAAGGTTTGAAATTAAATTGAAGTATAACTTCGAATGTAAATGTTAATTTGTAATATCTTCACTGTTGTATTGGTACCGTTATAAAGTTTTATACCAGAGTACTTCCTCAATTTTGGAATGAGGCACATAGTATCTCCATAGTTTAAAATATGTGTTGTTAACAGGGGGAAAACTCCTTTAGCCAAAGTAATGCAGCAATTTAGAACCCAGTTACAGGGGTTAATACACAATTATTGTAAAAACATATTTACGGTATGAACAGTATTAACTGTAATGACTATTATAAGTCTATTTTGTATTCTCAGATGCTTCTGTTCCTGTCCCTGCTGATCTTCTGTGTGCCTTCAGGGGGCGACACCTCCCCAATCACCTGCTACAACGACAAAGGAGATGCTGTGGATTGGTAAATCACTGAGTGCTGCACAAGACAAGCCTCTGCAAATACACTAAACACCTAAATGCACGTGTCATAAGAAAGCTTTCTAGATTAAACCAGCATTTGCATATCAGTTTAATGTCAAGCTGTTTCATCTATATATTTTCTTGTGTCTCGTTCTCTGTGTCAGGTTCTATTTGTACAAGCTGCCTAAAGAACATGGCAAAAAATCTCCCCACAAGGGTGAGATGTATTTACTGCTGGACAAAGGGAGTGAAGGCTGGACTAACGGGAAGGGGACAGTGAACGACACCACGGGCGCTCTGGGCAGGACCGTCGGACAACTCTACTCACAAGGAGAGGTCTGTTTCCATCAGGCGTCTTTTTATCTGTATTGAAACTGGAACAAATACTTAGTCTAACTGAAGCTTTGTTTTACTGAGAGCTGGAGTCAGCATACATGTGACACTGAGTTATTAAACAGTTTTCACTTCCTTATTATTCATGTTTTTAATATGTATGATCATTGTCAAATGGCAATTCCAAAGTCTAATTTTTGTAATGACAGATAGGACTGTACATGTTATTTAAAAGCTCTTTAAAATGCAAATGATACCCATTAAAAGTACAAATTCATCCCAGTATTTGTTTGATAGATTTTATTTATTCTAAAACTGACAGTCATATAAAGTATAGCATAGTGGTTTTAAACCTTACTCTCAATGTTACATTTCTTTGCACATACCTTTCTTGAATTTCCACAATATAACTATATTCAGCTCAAGCAATATCAGTAGTAAACACTTGTTTAAAATGTCGTTTTTTGCTGCTTTTAATGTTTAACGGTAGACCTAAGAATTCTTAGTTTGATAGAAATCTTGAAGATTCAACTTATTGTGAAGATGAAGAAGAAGATTAAACTTATTGTCATTACGTAGGAACTATGTAACAAAATGGTTTCTCTGCATTTGACCCATCCTAGTGTTAGGAGCAGTGGGCTGCCATTATGTACGG